GTTGTGACGTTTTGGCGATCTCGCAATCGCTAGTTTGTTGGCTCTGCGCTGCCGTAGCGCAAAGATGTCTGCCTCCATGGCTGCGAGACCCGCTCCTATGTAATTATAAATAACGAATTCTAAGGCAATGCAAATATTAAGGTTAAGAGGCTGAGCTCGTAGATGATGATAAATAACATATTTATGTATAATATATTACATTTCTGACTGTATATCCCTGTAATTATTACACACTGTAGCTTTAAAATGTTTTGATTAATTTATGACCAAACACAAAAATAACAAAAAAGCAGAAAAGAGCTATTCATGTCCAATGTTAGAGTTACTGAATGAACATAACTGATTGTGCTTTTATTTTGAAGAGCTGTAAGCGTCTTAGTTGTAATGATAACTCCTAACCACCTGCTTTAGATAGTAAATCTAAAGCTTGACTGAAGTCTTAGTTAGCTCCACTTAGATTCTATACAGATCTAATCTAAGACTTCAGACTATGAATATGTGAAAGTGATGTAACAATACCGTGGCTGACGATGGTGGGATCGGCATCCTCGGACCCAGGCGTCACAGAGGCTGTAGGACTCCATGCCTCACATGTCCCTTTGTCTTCCGAAACTGGCTGAGCAGGTGGAAAACTCTTCTGATCATTCTTTTGTTCTTCTTCAGGACTGGCAGGAGTTTTTGGTGAAGTCTTGGTCTTTTGTGGAGTGGCCTTTTCTCTCTGGAGCTCTATGCTTGGCTGGTAAATCAGTGCAGCATATGTTCATGTATTTCACACCACAGCAAGAAGAAAAAAGGCTTATTCATTTGCTACCTACCTTTTTGGGAATAAGAGGACGCTGTCCCTCTGGTCCCCGCCCTCTCTGCTTCTCTTCCTGCAGTCTTTCGCTCTTTTCTTCTACATCTGATCTTTCCGTCTCTTCTGATAACAAAATAATAGGAAACCATCAATAATTAGTTAAATCTTTGCTTCTGGGTCAACGGTAAAAGCCATAAAGGAGCGATTTTGACGGAGACATTAGGTGCTGCTTCTTTAGCCCTGGGTTTAAAAATGTTTAAATTTAATCTTTAAATTTAAGTAAGAACGCTGCTCATTTTCTGTATGAAGGTTTAGCTGCAAATTACAACAGATAAAAAAGTATACATAGCATAAAAGCCGAATGTTTGTGTATTTTTCCCGATTATAATCCTTATACAGTATTTACATTTGGCAGTTTGGTATTCGCATCAACAGTGGATGTCGAAGCCGTTAAATTACAGACTATCCTTGACTAAGACTTTCTGCGATAGTCAAGGATATTATGCTCCACCAGCTTTAACAGCTGCTACACTTCATCAAATTCTCTATAAAATAGTTTAGAATATCATTTCTGTGTGTGAAAGTCCCTAGTTGGAGCTTATAGATTTAAAGCTAACACTATACTATTGTGGTTACATTGTGGTATTTTTACAGATGTTTTCGATTCTTTAAGAGGTATAACCCAAAATATCTGTCTAAGTTTGCTTTCCAAGCACTTTGACAGAGTCTGAAATATACATTTATACCACTTCAGCCTCCCTTTCATGGATGTCAAAAAAATGGCAACAAACTTCATGTTCTCAGTATTTGATATGTGACGGACCATCAAAGAGTAATGTGTTGTTCATTGTAAAGTGGAATTAGTTTAGAAATACAATTCTGAATGTGGAGTTTGGAGTCCAATTTACTGTGATTCCCTTAAAATAAAAAAACACTATGGAGTAGAATTTCCAAACCAGGCAGTTTGTACTTTTTTGTTATAGAATTTGCAGTACCTATACTGTCCTGCAGGTGCCTCTGCCTTATCACAGCCTGAGTTGGTTTGCTGTGCGGAGGAGGCTCTGGCCTTGGCCCACAGGGGGCCATGCTGCAAACGCCGCTGCTTTGGATGTCCTCTCCCGCCTCGGTCCGTGACTCAGTCAGTGGGACAATTCTCTCCTGCCTGCCCGTCTCCATCTGTCTGTCCGTCTGGTGTTTGGAGGACACCACATGCCCGTTACTTTGAGTATCTGTCGGGGCATCTGAGATGGTGTTTGATCCATCAGCGCTGTGCTGCATCTCTTTGATGTCACACGTGCTGCTGCTGTCAGAGTCCTCGATTTCCGCCCCGATACAGCTGTACACCATGCTGACCAGATCTGTGGACTGCAGCAGGAGAGATGGCCATTCACAGAATTTTAATTAGTCAGAATCAGATAAATGCTTTTTTTTTCACTGTTCAAAGAGGACACAAATGGAAATTTGATTTTATGGTTCCCCTATTTACAATAATATAAAGACCTATTGTGATTTTGAATATCTAATCATCAACGGATTTCTCAATTATCATTCTAATATTATTTGAATACAGCAGTGAGAGTTAGGGTAGCCCCCTTTGGTTCTGTAAGAGTGCGGCGCACAGATTTAAAATAAGCCTTAAAGTCGATGTTTCACACAAGCAGCTACACAAATCCAAGACATAAAAAGGCTGAGAATAGCAGGTGGTGGGCACAGCATGCAGCTCTGCTCTGTGTCATCACTTGGGAGTACAGGAGCTGGAAAAAAGATGTTCATATCTAACATCTTGATTAAAAAGCAGACTTTAAAGCTGAGGTTTTATTGCTATTCTACAGTCTAAGATTAATTGTGCAACAGTGTTCAAAGCTCTGACAATAAAAAAGATTCCGCAACTTTAAACTTCTGCCAGCAAAATTTTTGAAAGAACCAAAATGATAATAGAGGCCCTTTTCTTCTCTGTTACTTCTGCTACCTGCTGTTGCAACATTCTGTTACAGAATAATTTGTTTTCTAAACTAAGCAAAGAGGTGCATCTTCAAGGATACTCAATTTAGTCTCTAGCTTATCATAAATAGTAAGTGTCTCAAGAGCTGCTTGTTTGCAGTGACTTTTCAATTCAACTTACCTGTCTTTGGATGGGGCAGGGGGGGCTGGCAGCCCTCATCCCATGAACAGGTTGGCCCTGAGTTGGCCGAGGTGAAGACATGCTCCCGTTTGCTCCAGGAACAGCGCTCTCTGGCCTCACTGTATCTTTAGGGTGCTGAATCATAGAGTAGACGTTCTCTGAGGCTCCCCTTGAAAAACAAAAATAGGAAAAAAACAGGCAATGATTCAGCTTGAACCTGAGAGGCCAGGTAAAATGTTTTGTTTGTACAATTCATTGTCATTGTGCATTGTCAGTGAAAACAACAGCAAAATAATCTAGCTCAACCTCTGCTACTAGTTAAGGAGTTTTCTTTTCATTGTTGCCACATACTGTACAGTAGATGTTCTTCATTGTGCTTCAAAGGTAATAACATTAAAGCAACTGTCTAATGTTGCCACATGCTCATAACGAAGGAGTGATTCCCACAAGTCAGTTACTAGATGGAATAAGAAGGGTTTTTATATTACAATCAATGTGGAATCTATGTTATTGACTTGGAATCTGTCAGTATAATTAGATTTAAATGTATTTCTTGTAAAGTGCTGTGAGGTGGCATGTGTTGTTTGGAGATATTTGAATAAACATAATTGAGTTGCTGCAAGAAAAAAAAGAAAGAAAACAAATTAAGAAAAGACCAAAATGAAAGCAGTAATAAACATCCAGTCTACCAGTTTAATATCAATCTGACATCTAACTATATTACAGTATTTTCCGGACTATAAGCTGCTCCCTTTTTCCCACGCTTTGAATCATTCCACTATTCTGTGTTTTTTTCTTAACTGCCATAGTGGGAAGTTACATTTTGGGCTAATTTTCATTTAGCTCAAGAACACACTAGCAGCACGCATTACAGAGAACAAACGTCCCAAATTCACACATTTTGACATTTATTTGCTACATTAAAGCTTTGGAACCGAAGAAGAGACTTGGCTCAACTCCTGCAGAGATGAAATAAAGAGCTGACAAAGCCCCATATTTCAGTAGATTTAGATTTATTTATTTATTCGACAGGAACAATGTATATTAATAAGCATTCCTGCAAATGCACCAGAATAAGCCAAAAGGCTATTTTTCAGCTGTTGTCCCTGGACAGATCTTAAAATTGTCTACCTAAAAACACAACAGTAAGAATTTTACAAAGAAAAATACAAATATAAAAAGAAATAAAAACAGCTATAACTCTTCAAGACTTGTTTAGAAATACAGAAGTAATGTTCGCTAGACTACAGATTTTAGGTTAACAAAATAGAATAACACATACAAAATAATACCATATATATATATATATATATATATATATATATATATATATATATATATATATATATATACACATACTTAAACATACATATACTGTACATACATACATATATAAAGCAGAGACACAAGTGGCAAGCTCTTACTGCGGCGAGCCAACAAGCTAATGGGAGCTAGTATTCCTACTGCAAAGGCTTTATGTAGAACTTCACCTACAGGTTTTGTGGGAAACAGTTTAGTTGATGTCAGCGGTTTATAGCCGAAGTGAGTTTTTTTTATTTATTTTTTTTCAAAAAATGTCATGGGCGTGGCTTATAGTCCGGAAATACACGTTAACTGACTTTAAAAATATAAATAATGACTTTACTTCAAGTGAGACCTCTTTAATTCTTCTAGTGACTGGATTGAATCTTTATGCATTCTAAGCAGATCTGTGAGCTAAAAAAAATACACTGGAAACTTCATCAAGTGGCACTTTTTATAGCTTTAAAGTCCCCACTTTGTCCTGCCCTCAAATCTCTCCTCTGAGAAAATAGATGTAAAAAAAAAAAAAAAAAATGCTAGTCTGTACTTTGTCCATTTGGCAAAGCAGAGTGGTTTTAAAGTGCTAAATCAAAATTAAATAAGACCAGCCAGAACGTACGGAGTGACATAAATTCAAAGCAAAAACAGTTGAATACATAAAAATATTGTTTCCGCTGCTCAAATATTTATGATTTTTAAGCATGCAAAACCCTGCATCTACTGTATATTCTTTTAACAGCCGTCATGATCAATAAGTCTATGCGCCTATAAATCCCTAATGGTCCCAGTTTCACACAGCTCAGGGCCAGGTTACTTCTTCTCCAATTTTGATTTTTTTGCATACTTACTCCAAGTCCTGATTGGAGAAGGTAGAGTTGCGATTTTTGCGGAAGCCAGAGAAAATCGACAGCACACTGCGCCTCTTCTTCCTCCTGAGTGATTGGGCCTGATGGAGGGATGAAAGCTGACTGAAAGAGATGTAGAGAGATAAAAAGTGCAAAGGTGAAAAATTGGATGGAAGATTGGAGGATTAAAGTTAGATGGCTCATTTTGTGAACCTGCACTAATACAGTAATAGCAGTAAGAGGACAAGTACCGTTTCCAAAAGGACATAGGACCGAGCCCTGCCAAAGAATTCATACATTTTTCACTGGGTTTTTTTAGTTGTATATACAGCAACCACAGTTAAAGATTTTGGTTGCACAGTAATCATGTTGTGTTAAAGCCATAGCAAGGAAAGCAAGCCTTGACAGAGTTGAAAATGGACAATCAAGGCTATTTAAAATGTATTTCAACATGTTGAAATATTGAAGTAATTGTAATTGTAATATCAACAACACATTTAAAGTGTTATTTAAAAGATTTTCAATGAAGGGCTTTTAAAGGGATTATGATGCATGCTTTTATGGGAACAAGGCTTGTGGGTGAAATGGACATGATGAAGGTTTTTGCTGAAATGAATCTCAGTGACAAACAAAGCAAACTGTATATGAGATCTAAATGTCAACAGGGTTAATTGGTCATAAATAAACAGGCTAAATAGGACAAAATAAAATCTGAATATTTTCTAATAAAGTTGTTATGGTTATTTTGAAAAAAGTAAATTCTTGTATTTGTCAATAACCTTTTTTAGTAGAGCAGGACAAACCAAACTGATCAAGTTATCATCTACAAGCCATGATTAATGCAAACATATTCCCATTAGTTTTCAGACTTGTGTGTTTTAGATCTGTCGCTGACTCAGTCTGTCTAACTTAAAGTGATAGACAATTAAACAGCCTCCAGTGATCTTAATGGCCTGCTGAGAGAGTAATTGAATCATTTAAATCATCTGTGATGGAGCAGAAAACATCTAAAACATACAGAGGACCAGAATCAGGGAACGTACGGATAATCACTTATCAGTGTGGGATGTGGATTAAGGGGTATTCTGATACAACTCTTTCATTTGAGATGGAGTACAATACCAATATTGACCCAATATCAAATGATCATAAATCATGCAAACGTTCAATACTTATATTTTTGTGTATATTTAAAAAAAAAATCTCGACACAGTGATGAAACTCAAACAGAGAACAATAGCCATCAACTAATGATTGTTCAGCAGGACAGCTGCATCGATGCATGCATCAAGCTCACAGAGTTAAACCTCATGTTGGGGCACATATCGTTTTAAGCAAAGTTTTGAACTGAGTAATGCAGTAAACTGTGTTTATAAGCACATCTGTCAAAGAGAGGCACCTGCCAAAAAAAATTGTATCTCTTACACTTCATTATCAGATTCATAAAGAAATATGGAGCAGCTTCAAGGCAAAAGAATGTTTCAGCCATGTGGGAACATTTGTTTTAATTTTCTCGTCGTGTCATACTGTTCCACTCAGTTATCACACGAGTAATCTAAATTGAAATTAAATTCAAACTGACTTTAGTTAACCATATTTACTGCATCCTCATTCACATGTTTGCTTAAATTTTCATGTTATATTATCCCATTATTTATTGACTGCATTTAAAAATATCAAAGAGATTTTCAATTTAAAAGATATTAAATAATACAATACAACATCCAATGACTTAAAATAAATTGTTGCCCTAGGTCATCGAGTTTAGTCTAATAGGCTAGCTGTAAGGCTTTAAAATTTTCAGCAGGTGTCAGTATTGAGTGATACAGTATTAATACACTTTGGCAATGTGTCAAAACGCAGTGTCATCAATAGGTATGAGAGCCTCTGAACTATTTATAATTAACCAATGCGTTACCAAAACTGTTCAAAGCAGCAGTACTTCGTTGTACTTCTTTTTTAGCTGATATCAGACAAATTTCATCTACTGATATAAGATTGGGACATCCCTATAGTAGATGTAGTCTGATTCTGATGTCTTAAAAAATGAATATTGCTTGCTTAGTTAGTATATTTTCGTGTTTTCTTTAAGAGCTTTTTATGAGAAAAAAAACCCCTGAATGTTGGAAACTGTAAATCATTATGTTTACATTTTATCACTGCTGCTTACTTCTTTATCACTTTAAAAATAGAAATGCCTTGAGAGCTGTACTGAATGAAATTTATTTTTGTATACGCTCTATGTGTCAAAGTCTAAGTAAGTATAAATTATTGAATCATTTGATATGAACACATTAAATATGATAAATAGTTTTGTCCTGATGATATAAAAACAAGATATTTTGTTTATTAATGTTTCAATTAGTTTATTAATTAGTTTATTTAACATGTGATATACTATTGCAGGTGTATTCATGGCTAATTTTCAGTGCTCATCACTGGAAAAGCAATGACAAAAGACACAGAGTTTAAAATGTCAAGATTGACTTCAGTGGTGTCATAGTTTAGAGCCATAGGCAGAAAAAGCTGTCTAATAGATGCTTTTCTTAGAAGCTCTCTTTTTCCACTGGCGAGTAATCGAGTAATTGAGACCACTGCTCTGAGTGGAGCTTCAAGCTTACAGAGGGCAGAAGGGGCTTGCTGATGCAAACATTTATACATCTGTTTTTAACAACAACACTTTATCAGATTTTGTATACTTTAGTGAATTAAACTTCTGCAGAGGCTGACAGTGGTTCGTTTGACGAAGTTTCCTTTTCTAGCATCTTCAAAGCTCTGTATTAAACCATTTCAGTGGTTTGATTATAGTAGCTGCTGCCTGTGACCAGGATGTTTCACAATAACTCAGTTGAGACAAAATCATGGCATACTTAAAGATATATGCAGCAGGAAGTGGGGAAAAATAATCTTTGAGCATTCTAAAAGTATAAAAATGTTATTTTGCCAGTAATAAGTACATGTGACTTTCAAACGTTAGGTGTGTGTACAAAATTAGACCAAGATATTTCACCCCCTCAACCTGCATAATGTCAGTTCTCTGGATGACATTCAATTTAAATAGAAGTAGACTTAGTATTGATCCATGTTGAACTCTTTCTCAATGCTATGAAGGACGATTTGTTGTTATTGATTATTACACATCGTTGCCCTGTTTTTAAGACTGTCTTAAAAAACTTAAACCGTTCAAACAAACTGATCTTAATCAACAGCTGATTTAAGTTGTTCAATAAAAAAAATATTTGAGAGTTCAGTCACCAAATTGAACAGGATGCAGTATGCCATGAATCTGTAAAGCTGTAAGGAAACATAAGCTAAGTCTGACTCATGTGAAACAGGGAGCAACAATCTTTTCTACAGTGTTTTTATGTGGATTTTGAAATTGTCCTTAGCTGCTTCATAATTTTTTTTAGTTTTTTTGTGGTCAAAATGATAATATGCATACTGTGTTGAACTGGTAGTCTGATAGAGTCAGGGAGTGAAAGATTTTTGTATGAGCTAAATGAAAAACGGAAAGTATGTGCAACCCAACCTGTCAGGTAGAACTCTTTTGCTGTAGAAATCTGGCAGTCCATCCTCCAGCATACTGACTCCTCCATTCTCAGAGCAATGCTGTGCACAAATAAACACACACACACATCAGAAAACAAAAGTGATCAGTTCAGTCTGCCAAGTCTATTAAGAGCTGAAGGAATGACAAAAAGGTGCGATCATTTCAAATGTCTGGCTAGAAAATCTGAATATGTTGCCAATAGAAGTGAGTTTGGAAACACTTCTTTTACCACGCTGCCCTAATAAATCTGCTCCGATTTAGAAATGAGCTTTGAAAAAGGACTAAACAAACTGCTTAGTTTGTTGATGCCCTGCAGTCCCTCGGGAGACGACAGTTCGCTATTAACATTTGAAACACAGTCACATGTGGCAGCCTCCTACGTTAAAAAGAACTTATTTTTAGAATGTGCCTTCGGCTACAAACACAAGATGAATAACCAAGGTTCACACATAATGTAGAAATTGAGGTAAGAAAAAAACAAATGCCTCAAAAATAAACATGTTGGTTTTATGATCGAACCTCTTAAATCTTTATGCTGTTAAATTAGCACTAAAGAAAAATGCACATCAAACCTTAAGAAAATCATAAATTTTTCTCCTACCAAAATATCCCTTAAAGGAAAAGTCTGGTCATATTCAGAATTCAAACTTCTGAAAGTACTTTAAATATGAAATGATTACATACTGTTCAATAAATGATACTTTATTTTTTAATTAAGAGTAATTTCATTTGAAGAACACTACTACCAGTTTGTGACGTCATGGTGCGGTATCGGCTGTTGATCAAGTCCCAGTGCTGTATCTGGTGTTTTTCACAATGTGATATTATCCAAGTCATCTTGAAATCATTCTTTTTCCAAATGTTGGCTACATATAATGTTTTTTTTTCTCTGGCTAGAAGTTATTCAAGTTGGCAATCCAGTCACTAACCCATCCTTGGTGGATCATGAATCGGAAAGGTGAAATAACAACTTTTTTTTTCATGTTTACCCGATGTATTACAACATTGAACGTGGGCATTGTCAGTTTAACTATAGCTCTCGCGAATTTCAATGGTGAAGTCCTCTCGAAATCTTAAATAATTGTTGTTGATTGCAGATTTGTTTAGTAGCTCCCATTTTGCTTGTAAAGTGGGGAGAATGGAGCTAGACTTACCGCACTGTGACGTTACTGCCGGAAGATGTCAGTAAGATGTGCAAAAATGGTAGCCTGACGTAGTCCTACTCAATTCTAGTCAGAATATGAGTCTCATACAGCTCCATAGAGCTGTGATTATGGGGCGTGTTTTGAACCAACCAGGAAAAAAAATGCCTCTGCACTCAATTGGACAGACGTACAACCAATAAGAGCAACGGAGTGCGTGACGTATGTTAAGCAACGCATAGTTGTTGTCAACAAAAATCAAAGCGTGCAGTTGCACGCCTAGAATAAGAAGATGAGCCTTGATCGCGTTTCTCTGTTCCTCTTTTAAAATTAAATTGCTGTCGATATCTTCTACAACAGACCTAATAGCAGAATCTACTCACCTCAACTCTCCGGCGGCAGCCATTGCTGTTGTCACCCAAGCCCGCTTTGGTCACGTGGTTGATTACGTTACTGTCGATCATCTGTCCATCATAGTATAAAGCCCGCCCTGACAATTTGATAGGATCGCCTGACAGTGGGCGATAATACTCACGCTACCATGGAGCAGAGCCAGACCGAACTTCCCGACCTCAAACCTTGTGGGCGGGACTAAGTTCGGAATGGCACCCAGGCTACAAAAATGGCCAGTCAACTCAGTGATTGCGACAAGTTATTTTTTAACTGATTGAACACAAAATTCATTAAAACCCCGCCAATGTATTAGTTTCAGGTATAAATAATGAGCAATTTATCAATCCTTAGTGACCCGACTTTTCCTTTACAAAACGCTACAAGGAAGCAAAAGTAAGCTACAGTGGAAATGTATTAGACCCATTGTTTTAAAAGGGCATAGAAATGTTATATTACAGTTTTTTTTTACATCTATACACCAGAGTCACTATGGTTGCATACCAAATTTTTGGGTGACGGGTGGTATAATACTGTGCATGTGCAAGGGGATGTGGCTAAGCAAGTAAGCACTAGAACAGATTCAGTAAAAAGGCTCATTGACAACACTCTAAGTAGTTGCTCTTCAGCTTACGGGGGTTAATATAACAAAAATGTTAAGTTTAAAGGGTGTGATTACTATTCAAATGCACTTTATTTATGCACATTAAGTCAGAGAATCTACTCACAGATTCAGGAGGAATGTGTCCTGTCCTGTGTCGCCGCGGTGGGCGTGGCCTGACATGGGTAACATGACGTAAAGGTGAACCGTTGGTTGGGAGAGTGGAAAGGCATTCCCAAGATGCGGAATGAGTCAGAGAAGCTGAGTGGGAAGGAGCAGAAGGAGTCGGAGAGGGACTGGGTTCATCCCCTAAACCTGTGAGACAGACGGTGATTTAAGGATAGATCTCAGAAACAGAATAAGATTAACTGACAAAGTGTTTTATGCATATGAGGAATTTGCTTTGGTGATAAAGTGCTACACACAGACCAACATACAGTTAACAAGAAAAGAACTTAAAAATACAGTATATAATGTGGAATGAAAACTGTGTAGGAATGTAAAGAGAATAGAGAAAGCATGTACGTTTTGCAGAACTTAAAGTTTTGACACCAACAATATAACATTTAATTCAGATAGCATTTACACCTTCTGAGACGATGTCACATCACATTTTACCTGCATCACATTATTCACTTTGTTTGCTTCTGCTCAATGAGATTTAATATATATATATATATTTGAGTTTAGAGAGAAGACTCACTCATTCTGGTGGAGACAGGACGAATTCTTCTAGTTCTGGAGCTTCGCTTCTTTATAGCCATGGTATCCTTTTATTAAAGAAGATAAAACAAATATACATTGTCATACAAGAATACCTACAGTGCCTTACAAAAACATTCATAACTATGGAAACGTTTTCACATATTTTCACATCATAACCACAGATTTAAAGCATTTTATTAGAATTTAAAGGGACAAACAAAAACAAATTAGCTTCAGTTCAATCCAGTTTATTTCTATAGCGCCAATTCACAACCCATGTCATCTCAAGGCACTTTACACTTCACCAGGTCATACAATTAAATTGATTTAAAGTTTTCTATCTAAGGAAAACCAGCTGATTGCATCGCCTCATTGACTTGGATGCAATCCCTCACACTAAGCATGCCTGTAGCGACAGTGGAGAGGAAAAACTCCCTTTTAACAGGAAGAAACCTCCAGCATAACCAGACTCAGTGTGAGCGGCCATCTGCGAAAGCCAACTGATTGCAGCTTGCTAAAGGTCATATGGGAAACAGCTAATACAAAGTAAAATGTGCTTTGACACATAACACACGCTATTTCTAACACAACACACGGTAGAGGCTGCATCATTCTGTGGCTCTACCTTTTTATCAAAGTTATACAAAAGCTCTTCAAAGCTAATAGAAAGATTGGTAAAGATATATGCACAACAAAAACAATCCACTGGACTTGTTTTCCACTTTTTTTTTTGGACAGACTATGATGACTATGATGACAGAGAATCTTCACCAGCATATATGCACAAAAAAATTTTATAGATATATATCCCAACAAAATATATTGCAGTTTTGTTTTTTGCATGAAAAAAGGTTTAAAGGTAAAGTCCCTAACATGTATTACGCCAAAGAAGTCCAATCATTGAGTTTAGCAAACACTTACTATTCCCAGGTTCACTCCAAATTCCTCATCAGGGAACTCCAACGCTTCAACAAGTCTGGAATGTCTGACAGATCTTCTACCAGTCCCCACATCATCCCAACGTTTTGCCTGAGAAACCTGTCGCAGCTGATGCAAAGCTCACATTAATAACATGCAACACAATATTCATTCAGATTCTTTTATCAGTGAATATATTGTCCTTAAACCCATCATCCTATGAGAGATGAGTCTATCTCTCTATCCAAGAGGTTCACAACAAAGTAAAGGGTGAATTGCAGTATGAGTTTTAAAATCCCGAGATGAATATGAATTAAACTCAAGTTCTTGATCATAAAAGCAGAGCAAGACATCATAGAGGACAGGCTGGCACTGCAGTAAAACACAGAGAGAAGAATGAGACATAACAGGGGAGGGAGTGCATGGAATGTAAAGCAGAGCTGGGCAGACAATGTTGCTACTAGAGATGTATTGGTCGGTTTTTGGCCATGTTAATTTCAAAGACTCTGTTTTTATAGAGATCCTGCAACATCAAACCATGCAGATAATAAGAACAGAAAGTTTTTTTTAAGCATTATGTTTTTACTTTTAAAGAAATAAAAATGTGTGATGCAGGTAAACACAAAAATCAGCCACTTAGACATAACCTCAAATATAAAAGATTTCAAAAATATTTCTGCTGCTGGTGTTTTGATTCAGTTCAAATTTACCTTGGCAAAGGATTTGCATCAAGTTTTTATTTTCATTCTACTGAGCTGTAAGTTTAGGGGAAAAAAATAATATTACTTTGTATTAATTGCATACAACTATTAAGGGAAATAGCCAATGAAGTTAATTGATTTTGTAAAAGGTTAAATGCTTTCAACTATCTTGTATGCTTTAAAATGGCAAAATCATTTTTTTCTGTCAAACTATTTTAAAATGACCTTAATGTTTCACTTGTTTTACAAAATTCGTTATCAAAGTAACAAATTAGATTTGGTGAAAATGTTGCAGAGGTCCATAAAATTGAAAAATGCAGAACTGTTTGAATTATTTTTCATTATGTCCTTGGAAAAATGAAATTGGAGCAGTGCATTACTGAGTTAATTATTCTTGATGGAAGATATTTGTCACGATTAGTTAGAGGGCTTTTTCTGCTCAAAAAAGAAAGTATGCAAAATGACAGAAATCTAGATGTAGATCACAATTAGAGTACACTTGAAATGATACAACATCAGCATAGCATCTAGCGTCAAACCCACTGGCAGGGGGAGACAACCTGGTCAGTTGTCCTGGACCAAGGGTAAAGGTAATGGCCAGAACCTGTCCCTCAAACTATCCGCAAAAACCAAAGAACATTTTTTCTTTTTCAAAAAAAAAAAAATGCTAGTTGACAACAAAAACGTGCGACATTGAAGTTACACCAAGTATTTTCTTAATAATGTGTTTTTCAAACTTGTCCTTGTGATAGTAGGGGAGTATCAACCACAAACCCCCATTCCCATAAAATAGTTTGGCCATTGATGTAATGTCTGTGAGTTTATTAAGATGCTCCACTAAAGAACATATTATCCTAAAATGCTTGTTTGCTTTGACACAGGAGGAAACAAGAAACTCAGAGACTAAATCTTCCTTTTTGCTCTGTTATAGCCAGTATCTAATGGTGCCAATATCAGGTTTGCAGTTTGCAAGTCCAGCCTCATGTGCCGTTGCTTTGATTTCATTAACAACCTCAGCAGTTTCTTCCAGTTACTTGTTGTTTATCTTTGCTACTTGTAGTTATAATCAGGACAAGTCCATTAGGAGTCATTTAGAGGAAATGTTATTATTTGCCCATACATGACTACCAGGTGAGTCCTCCACAGGAGCAGCTGGATCTTGGCCAGAGGAGAGCGGCGTGAATAAAAAAGAAGGTTCTACTGTGGAAGCTCAGCCGCTAAAAGGGGGGTTTTCACCAAAACCTCTTGAGGTTTATTTCAGATTGATTAATCTAAATTTGAAATAAATTAATAAGTGGAATAATGAATGCAAAATAACATGATTTAATGTGATAAATTATTGTTCTTCTTTTAAATATTTATAATTATTTGTACATATTTGTACTTCATGCCCATCGTGGATTTCATCGTCTCTCTGCCTTACAAACCAAAATGCTTTTTGCTACATTAAAAGTCAGTCATAGTGATTTAGATTTTTGAAGTCATTTAAAGCTGACTTAAGACTTACAAGTTTCTCAAAAAATGTACACTGTTAGGAATGATTTTACTATATATTGGATTCAGATTTGTATTAGATTCCTAAATTTTATTGCTAGATTTGCTGATTAATCAAGACATTCAAAACATTGAAATGATGAAGCATACAGGAAGGAGCCAAAATCTAACTTGAATTCAGTTGAGTTAGACTGAAGTAGAGTTGCTAAACTCCTTTTACTGTAGCAAGTCCTTGCAACAGTAAAAAAAAAAAAAACAACAACAAAAAAATAAATCAGGTAGTGGTAATCGGTTCTCCAATTTAGAAAGCGATAAGACCAAAAGTCATGAAAACTAAAGTTTCAATGCCTGTCAATGTCCTCAAAAATATAAATCCATACATCATGATTAACCTGGCCTGCGAGCTGAATTCTTGGCATTTTTGAATTTTCGAACACAAGAGGATCCCTTTTGCACCACTCCAGCTTTAATCATTTTTATTTTCCCCAAAACGAGTCAATTAAGTGACATTATTAAGGTTGGACATATAGCTGTAACAAAGGTAAGAAATGCCAATTCCACAGGTACAGTAAATCAAACGAAAAATAGCAGTGCAGGAGGATATACGTGTAGCTGCTGCTAAAGCATCTATTTGTAAGAATCCAGGATGTTTTGGTTTCTCATGACTGCTGAGAAGGAATGTGTTACTATAATTGGCTAAAACCAAATTTTAGAAAGTTGATTTTGCTCAGCTCCAGAAGTTCTGCTGAAAGTTCCCCCTTTCTCTGAACAGATTCCCAGATTGATCATTTATAAAAGTAAACCTGAGGACCTGAATTGTAGAACCTAGAAAAATCTAAAAAAAACATTGCACCTTTATAATTTTACCACCCCCATGTAGCTGAGCAGTTAGTTAGTTAGTTCCCTTCAGTGATCATACAGTAACATTTCAAACTACAACAAACACTGTTTTCTACTATCTAAAAGAAGTCATGCATTAAAGGGATATTACCAGTACCAGTGTTTTATGGGTGGTGTAGAGCTCTTGTAGGATCTGATCGACGATAGAGTTAGTCAGATAGGAGACCACCGAGAGTTTCACCTCCCTTAACAAAGAAAAGATGAAGACTTAACAGGTCAGTCTAAATATTCTCTGAAGTTCTCAATGACTGGAGGCTTTTAACCAGCTGCGTTTCTTACTCCAGGGCTTGGTTGATATCTTCAGCTGCTCTCTCCATCAAAGCGCTGCGGATGGCTGAACGAGGAATGGAAACTTGTTCGGAGATGGAGGACAGAGGGGGGCTGAGTCTCTCTGCAGCCGAGCAAGACATGGGACACAACTCTCGACAGAGAGACACCATAGAATCCACCACCACCTAAAGACATGAAAAATACATGAGGGGATAAAAAGATGTGAATAATTTTTTTTTTAAGGCATTTTTGTATTTATTCCAGACAAAATGTTGTTATATTAGCTGGGTCATTTATGGCCGTCTGTGCAATGCAGCTGTTCACAGTTATCAAGCTCATGAATCCAAGGATCTATTCATACAGATGTCTTGTTGTTAGACACCAATCTTTGAAAAATTTCTTTACAATTAACAAGTATACAAAATCTGACACACAGCTTTATAGAATATCCTCAAGGTTTCAGCATTTTCTTTCCCCTTACAATGATTCTTTCATAGGAAACAATGTTAAATGTATCCTCGCCGTGAATTTAAATGCCACAATTCTTTTATGTCAGCACCCCTTTTCTGCACACAACAATAATAGGCTATTTAAATGCAATTGGATCACTACTACCTCTTAATCACAAATGCATAAAGGAAAAGAACACTTCTGCAAATAATGAAGTGATCCCATCTCCCGGTTTACCTGCAGCTCTTTGTCTGCAGCCTTGGCCAGCTCTCCAGCTAGCGTGTCCAGGCGCTGTTTGACGGGACCATCCACTGACAGGACGTGGGCCAGCTCGCACAGGGATGGGTACAGCTGATAGGGATACAAACCTTTTATTAAATTGAATATAGAATATAATGCTGGAAAATACCAGATAGCTACATAAAGTACAAGGTCCATTTGAAAATGCATTTGTTAACTATATCAGAAAATATTGTTTCACAAATTATAACAAGATAGTTAAATAAGAGGGTTTATTTTTTAACACGTTCTTTTTTTCACACTAATGCTTTAGTGTTATATCAATATAATACCCAATCATAAATAAAGAAATAATGTGAAATTAATTGTAAGCTAAAAATAATAAAGGGAAAATAGTCTCAAAATCACAGTAAAACTGGTGTAATAGATTTAAAAAAACGATAAATTATATCGTAATGTTTCCAATATTCCATGCTGGATATTACAGTATTAATAAATGGTTTTAATTTAAGAAGCATGTATATATATATATACATATACATTTTAAGAAGCAGACTTCAGCTGACAAAGCCAACTAACACCAGCTAGAGTCTGTTGCAGCCTCCCCATTAGATCTAGCTGATCATAGAAAATAAAATGCTAAATAAAGAGACAGAAATTCAACAGGGCTTCTCATGAATCCATTAAAACTTGCTGACGCCACACACTGTTGGCAGTAATGCAAGGAGGATGACAAGAAAACTAGTCCACCGACAAAAGAAGGATTTTTATTTTTCTGTTTTGTTGAGCTTAAGCCAGAGGTGGGTCGCCTTATATTTATCAGTTGCATGAACAACCTAAGAAGAATAAAAAAATAAAAAATAAAAAAATAAACTTAGAAGTACTTTTACTGCCCTTTACTTTTACTGCGGTATTGTTATAATGAAGTATGAGAAAAATCCACAGGCACAGAAATAAGGTTAGGGCTTACAATAAACTTAACAATGTGGCTCACAAGCTTTGATCAATTATTCTTAACTTCTATAATTCTGTTGTTGGAGCTCATGTAATTGTCATTGTAATTATTTTACCTTATATTAACATGTATTTTTTTAGCTACTCTACTGCTGTATTTTTTAAGTTTAAGTGGAAAAGAATTGATGTGCTATTTTAAAACATCTTGTTTGTACTTTTACTTGATGATTCAGCCTTTTAAAGATAATTTTTTTTATTTGAGCAATTTTTTCTGCTAGTTTTTACTTTTATTTTAATAATAATATGTTAAAGTAGTGCTCCTCTTACTTGAGTATAATATTAGGGTACTCAACGACAATATTTTCCAACTATAAGTACTACAATAAGTATTATGATCTATTCTTTGCATGGCCTAGTTTCCTTTTTTTTTTTAAAAGCCTACTTCATTAAGCGTCCTGAGGTTCCGAAGCGTTCTGAAATGCTTCCTTATTGCTTATTCAATTGGGTCCAAAGTACATATGTACATCAATACTTTTATGGTTATTATATATTCTGCTTTGTTACAGAGGAACATTATGGGGTCTATTGTCTTAATAAATAGCAACTGTATTTATACAGTTTTGCACTAATTAAGAATAAATAACACCGTAGTATTATTGATTATATTTTTCTTTTAATTTACGTATGAAACCCTACCCTTTTAAAACTCATTTTGCAGCATCAGCAATGCTATCAAGTGTCGTCTCCATTTAGAAAATGCTGTATTGTAAACAACTCCTCAGTTGTTTACCTAATTAAGAGAGAGACATACATTCTTTATCTCTCTAAACAAACCAACCTGTGAGGCTCAGGAGCAGGTGTGGTTTGTTAACAATCATTGATAGCAGTATGGATATTATTTGTTATCGTCAAACACGTTATCCTTGGTATTTTTTGCTAACCAGACAACAGCCAGATGCATGTCTCAGCGAGACATGCATCTGGCTGTTGTCAGGTTAATTTTTTGCACTCATAACCAACTCCATATCCTCATAAGCAGGCTACACTGTAAGGATGTGGATCGTTGTACTGATATTTGGGGTATAAATACTTCATCAGTTTTCACCTAGGGTCGATTCTTTTGCTTTCATCTACTCCAAGCACTGTTGAGGCTTAGTTTAAGAAAACGTGACGCCTTTAATAAATGACATTTTTACCTGGTGCTGCTGCTGCTTTCATCTACAGCTAATCAAAAAACCGACCCAGCATTAACGTCCTCCTGTTTGAGCTTTTAAATATTCTGTTCTTACACAATACCTGCTGACCTGATGGCTTATTTAGCTAATTAACTGAATGTTTAATGATTTGAGGCTTACTATGAGGGAGATTTTTCACAGTTCGCTTTAGAAACTTCTTCAAAATGACCCCCTGTGGACTTCTCATTAAAGGCGCCAATAAAGTAATAGTACACAACTAATTAAGCCATTGATTATAACTCCGTTTTATGGGAAGGATCCATCCTGAATCCTGCATGGCTGTCCCAAACTACTAGCAATAAGAGCCTTTATGAAATACTGCGCTAAAAAAAGCTTTTAAGTTTACGTATTTAATGTACAGCCTTTAGTATGGTGCAGTAAACATTGTGAGAGGAAATATTTAGCATCTGTAGATGCTTACATGTTTCTTTTCCTGACAGTTCTAACAAGTAGTTTGTAACCAAGTAACAGAACATTTAGAGAAACTTGTAAAGTACATAATAATTAAGTACTATTTAAATGTTGGAAACAAAACATTGTTCTGTCGTCTCATGGGCCTGGATTACTTCTTTAAAAAAAAAAAATGTTTTACTTCTAAAATTAGGCAAGCTGAGTACTCTGTTGTATCATCACTGATGTCTCCCGTTCATCTATTTATAACACGGGTCAGTGGCCTGTGTGATTTTATTTCTACATTTTAATATAATAAAACACAAACTTGAATTTAATTAACTTCATATATCTTTTAAAAGAAGAGAAAAGGATAAAGCAAATCTAAACAGCTGCCGTTTCCTTGCTTAAGAAGAGCATCCCCACAGCATGATGTTGCCAACATTGTGTTTCACTCTGGTCAGAGTAATGTTCAGGGCTAGTTTTCTGTTCCACACTAGCATTTGGCATGCAGGTCAAAATGATAAATAATGGTATCATCTGAACAGGGCAAAAGTGCTGTGTCACCTTTAAGGCTAGCAACAAACTGCGTATCGTCGACAGATTCCACCTTTTTGAACCACTGCAACTCGCTTTTTACTGGCATTGGTTAAAAGTAAAAATTCTTGCAATTGCTCAGAGTTTCAGAATGGTAACTACACTAACAGAAGGTTCAAATCACTTCTGTTTTTAATGTCTCATATCAGTTGATAATTTGAAAATTCATTCTAGAATCCTGGCTTCAATTTCAGGACCCTAGAAGGTCAAGCTCCATCGAGCATGTTAAAGGCAAAAACTTACAATTGAGTCATCAGGTCCTCAATCTCTAATAAGTCCCAAAGACTTTGTATAAAAATCGGGTGGACGCTGTAAAAGCTGCAGTATAAACATTGCATACTGAAAACTCACACCTTAGTCTCTATAAATAGAGACCAAGCTGGAAGAGCTGGAAATTAGTTTGTTCTACAGTAGGAGGCGATTATAATTAGAGCAATAATACAAATGCACACCACAATGTTGACATATGTAAAATGTTATCAATTCTGCTTCTTACGGCAGCTAGAAGTTTAAATATATCGCAGTGGTGCTCCAGTGAAACCAAAAAATAGCAACGTTTTCAACCAATTGATTTTTTTTTAACAACATTCATACCTATATATGGTTTTGTGCTTGTAATATACAATGCTGCTGAAATATATCTTGTGTTTTCAAAAAAAAAAATTGGTGGATATAAAAGTCACTCCCTTTTAAAACAGTATGCACAGCCTTCGTAAAACAACACAAGCAGAGTTCACTCACAGCTCTTGAGTTCCTGGCCTCTTTGAGGATTTGTCTTGCTGTCTGGACCTCGTCTCCGTCTTCACAACCTTTCAGGACACATAGCTGTTGCTGCACCCTCACACACAGACGCTCCATAACCTAAAGCACAAAAGTAAATATCACTATTATCAACAAGTATTCGCATAAAGAAAATTTTTCCTCTTCTTGAGTGCACAGACCTGCTCAGCGGTGCTGGTAACGAGGCCCTGGTGAAGCCTGAGGGCCTGCTTCTGAGAGAAACGCTGAGTCTGGTTGTTCCTGAGCAGTGCACGCTGGATCTGTCGCACATACCAACACACAAAGAAATAAAGTATAAGCAAGAGGTATGGTGGAGATGGATGTTTACAAAGCACAGCATGCATGAGACAGAAGGCAAGACAATTTGCATGGTAATAAGGAAAGTGGATTTAAATCCCCCAGAAATAGAAAGGAAAGACTTTGATTTGTTTTCCTGACTCAGCATGTGGGAAAACATCCCTGCATCATCATCTTTTGCAAATAAATATTAACATGAAATAATAATCTGTAGACACACACAAATTTAAGCACTTTTTTAGTAGAAATTAAAGCAATAATAACATTAAAGTAGATGTCTCACAAATAAAAGAACCTTGAGAAAACCCTTCTCTGGCCCTCAGATATATGGCTTACAAATGTGAATGTTTAGATTATTTTAAGAGCTAGGAGAGTAAAGTTTGGAATGTAAAAGGATTGTAGACTGCAAACCTATAGAGAAGGAAAGTATGTTGATAGCAATAATACTGACTGCGGCAACATGACAACAGGAAAATACAAATTCCATGGTTACTCCTCACAAGAGGCATTCTTTAAAAGTAACACCTGAACTCTGGAGAAGAAATATGATTTTGATGATGGTAAAAGCTTAAAATCACACTTTCCTGCAAATGTATTTCCAATAGACCTTCATGATATCAGGAAATGTAAATATGATAATGATGTTGAAAATGTAATATAATAAAACAATATGATGAATATGTATAATATATATAATATAATGTTTTTGAAGATGTCATGATTTTTCCCTATCGCTATTTTTATTGATGTTTGCATCAGATACGCAAACATTTCTTTAAAAGAATTTCTTTAGTATCCAGTTATGTTCAGTCTTTTGTTTCGCTTGGCCTTGCTGTAAAAGTGTTTTATTAATAAAGGTTGTATAGGAAGTTATAGCACATCAGGCATCAAGGATATGGAAGAAACATCCAATATGCCAATATTTCCTTCAAGCAATCTTTTGTTATTGCAACATTTCAGGGCAGGTACAGCAATAATAATGGCAGCATAGTGTTCAGCTTGACTTCTTACAGATTTTGCTGTTAAGGGGATAAAAGTAAGTGTATTTTGTTCCGATTTTGTACAGTATACCAACACAAAGCACTGTATAATAGTGATATTAAGAAAATTGTTTATTAAAATCCCAAAAGTATATTAAGTGCCTTTACCGTGGCAACCCCAGATAAAATATACTGTTGAACTGTCTTTAGAAGTCCCCCAAATGGTGAAAACAATGCACTTGTGTATGATTTTTTTTCTTATTATAAACCCAGCTTTTCTTGAAGGTCTCTGGCTTTTTTCAGACAGTATTTGTGGAAATGCAGCACAGTGAAGACCAAGAAACACAACAGACAGGGCAGTGATAAAGACCTTTGAACGCCTCATGGGAGCTCTATTCAATCAAATGTGTTGATTAGTGTGTGACATAACTACAAAGCCTCATGACGAGAACCTGGACAAGGAAATAATTAATCCGAGCTAAAGATATGAAAACTGAAGGCATCAGTATTTGTTGAAAAGCCTCATAAATATTTTTTCATGAAACATTAGAAGCATTAATAAGTCCTGTATGCAGTTCTCTATATGCCATGTAGGAGACACATGTGGAAGAAGGTACTCTTTTGAGATGAGACCAAAATGTAACTTTTGTTCCGATTTGCAATACGGTATACATGAGAGAATACTAACAGTGTGTTTTTCCCTGAGCACAAACATCGCTAAGAAGAAAGATGGTTTTAGCATCATCATGTTCTTCATAGCTTTATCCAGCCTAGGTGTTAGAGGTGAGTATTGGCATGAGTTTTGCGATTCGATACATTTCGCGATACTTGGGTCACGATACGATATTATCACGATATTGCAGTATCACTATATATTGCCATATTTCCCCAGCTATCAAAATCAAATAATGAGATAAAACAGCAAGTGCTGTATATTTTCATCAGAAAATATTGATTAGGTATTATTATCCATGTTGTTTGGGGTTTTCTTCAACTGTGACTGCCTTAAATAAAGATTTAGTGCTGCACGCACAGTTATAGGGCTCCACAGCGCTTTCTGCCAGAGTGGTGGTGCAGAGGTAGCCCATTTTCCCATCAATGTTTTATGTAACCTTTTTTTTTTTTTTTTTTAAATCGATAGTAAGAAGTGAAAGATCGATATTATATTGGGCAGCCGAATATCACGATATATCGCCAAAACGATTATTTCCTACACCCCTACTAGGCACAGGAAAGCTTCCAGTAGGACAACAGTATGAAGTCAAATCACACCTACAATGAAACAGTGATCAGGCAAAGTCCAGAACTAAATTAAACTGAGAATCTTTGACAAGACCAAAAAACTGATGGTTACAGAAGCTCTCTATCACATAAAAATAAGTATATTTTAAGAATATTTTAAGAATAATGGGCAAAATACGACATGTACTGTAAGGTTTTTAAAAAAAAAAACTTTCATCCTCACAAGTAGCAATAAAAACTTGTCTAAAAAGAGGATGGATATAAATACACAAAACATTACTTTAGATCATTTACCAAATAAACCATTTAAACCATTTATCATTTGGTCCAACTTCATAATTAATAACAGTCAGTCTCTCACATAAAACCTCAATAAAACACACTGAATATGAAAAAGTTCAAGCGATATTAACGCTTTTTTGGAAGGTACTATATACTACAATGAAAATACTTTAAAAAAGGAAAAAAGATATTGTAATAGGATGTAGTAAATGAATGTTTTAGCCCCTCTAACCTTGGCCAAGGCTTGTTCCGTCTTTTCTGGGGCGCCGCGATATGCCTGAGCGATGTCACAAAGTGGGAGGGGCATATACTGCAGCGTGAAGTTGCTGTGTTGGAGAGAGCAGGAATGGACAGAAAAGAAAAGTCACTCTTGCATGAATAACAGAAACAATCTTGATGCCGACAAGAACAAACAAATAATACCCATAGCTCATTTCTTACAGATGTCTCTAGTTCTCAAATATATCAACAAAAAAATAAAACACCCACATGCCTTTGTACACACAGACAACTATAGAAACTTGTGCACCTCCACAGATCTGACAGGCGCACCAGCCAGAGGACTGATGAAACACTGTGAAATAGTAAACACTTCAGAGGGATGGTTATCTGCCTGTTATATGCCTCTGTGAGGGATCTGTTTAATGTTGGGCACCAGATCATCGGAGAAAAAAAAAAAGCTCCTAGATGTTATGTTCCGCTTACTGCTCCAGCGCCCTCGCCACATCTTGGAAGCCCACTCCGGTGGTGTTGTTGCGGTCCCACGTCACGCTCCTGAGGGGGATCAAACAGACAGGAAATAGAGAGGGACAGGCTCAGAAATGAGGAGGAAGAGGATCAGCTGCCTGTCATCAACATACACACACATACACACTTCTGCTGTATAACGGCTACAGTGATTGGTTGACATTGGATTTAGACATTTGTCTGAGTCTGTCCTTTTTCTGCATTAGGGGAATACAAGATATAGAAACAATATCCATGACTTTAACGAGCGTCTTTGAAATATTCCTTTCACATTCACCATCCAACTTTTCATAAAAGCAGTCAGTTCCTTTCCAAAGGCCCTTTTTATCAATCTTCCGACTCCATCACTTTATCTCCACCCTGACACGTCTTGCCCTAGAAATTTAAATCAGTAAAACTCAAAGCTCTCTCTCTCTCTCCGGGAGGTCCTCCTGTCCCGCTCCTTCATATCTTTCTTTCTTCACCATTTCTTATCAGTCAGTATCCAACCCCCAAACTGTTGATTTAGTCCTCGTTTGCTGCTTCTCAATCTTCCATCATTTTTTCATACCTGCATTTTCAGGCATCTGAACATACACTCTGCATCATCTCCTCCTGAGTATTATTACAAACAGCTATCCCGAAGGACTTTTATTTCTTTATGATGATTAATTTCTAAATTCTCCAGTGTGCTTAGATATGTTTTACCCCCTGCATGGAAAGCCTTCCCCTGCCTCTTTGAAATAGCGTTCAGCATCTCCACATCTCTTCTGTCTCCACTCCTCATCTTCAGTTTATTTTTAATCCTACTGATTCATCTTTTTTCCAACTCACTTCCAAAGATCTGGGTGCTTTGTTCTACATGAAAATCTGTTGGTAGTTAAATTGATCCAATTAAAAAAGAGGTAGAGAAAACATCTACCACAGACCTGAGAGTCGTATTGATCTGCAGAGCCTTGCTCAACATCTTGGCTCCAGAGTCCTCAAAGAGGTTGCCGCTCAGATCCACCTTCCGTAGGCAGGCGTTGGAGCCCAGAGCGTTGACAAGGACTGTTCCGCGGTGGCGAAGCCTTGAGTCAGCCAGGGAGAGGGACTGTAGAGCCTGAGAGATTCAAACATGAGGGGAAATAAGGGAAAAATTTCAGAAGGGATTATCCGTAATCTCTCCTTTATGAATTGTCTTAAAAAGTGAGTGAAAGTTTTTTTCAATACAAAAAGTAATTCATATTTCATTCTTGATTCCCTTTTTGACTCTGTTTGGACCAGCAGAAACATGCTAACCAAAGAGCTACACATATGGCTTAAAACACCTGTGTTTTATCTAGTCATTACATATACACCGTATGCATTTTAGTGAAACATAAAATGATCAGATCATTATACGATAAAAATAAACAGCTACACAAACGGATGGAACAACACAAAATCGCAAACTTGCTTCTAAGTCCATCTGTATTCCAAGGACAAGTAAAGGGAAGACTTGTGGATCACAGACATTAAACATGGAAAACCCACATTAAACCGAGCAGCTGGCCTTAGCTCCAGTACTTCTATCACCAATAGTGAAGCCAGAGATTTGCACTACTAGACATACATTTAAGACACTTCATCTTAACATCTAACATTATATGGAGGCAAACTATGGAGAGGATGAGAGTGGTCAGTGTCTTCAGTGACCATAATAGTCATACTAGTATGACTGAACTAACTACATTTTATAATCTTAAATGAAGAATCATTTTGGATGAGCAGTGAAATATCATCAGGAAACAAATGATGGAGACCAGTTGCTTTCCGTTTAAGTACTTAAGGCCATTAAATTGTCGACCGATTGTGTGTTTAGACTGAAACTAATGCTGAAAAAAAATAAAAACTCCTTCTGCGGATTTTCAACAGATACCTAAAGGTTTTATTCCTAAACAGATTAGTTTTTGGATTTTATCATAATTTAATCTGTGTGAACATAAACCTTCATCATCCATAGAGATATAATTCCCTAGAATCATCCTGCTCCATCATGTTTGACTCTGTCAATGCTGATAGCTTTACACTGGACATTTAAAAAACAGGCGAACAAGTAACATCCCATTTTTCCGTCTATTTTTATCCCAATTATGGTTTTCAATGGGACAGATGTCCCGTAAATGAAAGGGGATTGAAACGTCACTCACACTGTGAACATACCCCAGTTAAACAATTGCTATATTACCTATCATGGCTGAGCAGAGTATTAGGTGAAGCTACTTACAAAAAAAAAAAAAATCTTGATCTTTGCATTATTCCAATAAAAAACAAGAAGGCAATTACTTTATTTAACTGGTTAACAGTTGGCATTTGATGTCAAATCTCTAAATAACAAACTTTCTAAAAATGAAATGGTTATTAGAAATGGCTATAAGACTTGATGTAAGATAATTTTGCAGTTTGTTTTGCAGGCAGGACAGGCAGCCATGAAGCAAGCTAGTTTATCCACACAATCACTTTAAATAAGTTAATTTATCCTTCTCTGGGTAAGAGTTTAAATAAACACGCTTCAACTTCTATGTGAAAGAACATCGTTGGGAGCGATCGCTATCAGTGGTGGTAAATAATTGAATAAGCTAGCCGTCATGCTGAATTTGCCAAGCAGAGAAAAACAGAAAACCTCTGGAGTCTCTGGGATAGACCGAGACCAAGTGAAACATTCCACAGGCCCACAGACGACATGACTAGTAAGGATGTTTGTGTACTGTGTGTGTGTGGCAGGTGGGGGATTGAGCTTAAACAGGCATAAAAGAGGACAAGAATCCAGTTTGGTGACAAGTGTGTGTTTCTGGGCGTGCAAAATCGTGTGTGTTAGGCGACAAATCTGTGAGGTGTTTGTAGGCGTGCATCTTTGCATAACACCACAGAGAATATCTGCATGTGCATGTGTGTACGTTTACAATATGTTACATAATCAAACTCACACACTCTTCTTCTTGAACCAAATGAACCAGTTTCTGCAGAATTTCATCCAGCACCCTGCAGAGGCACAAACAGTAGGAAAAACATTCATCATCTGCATCAACTTCACAACCATCTGCACGGCTGCTTCCCCGCAGCGGGCCATACCTGCCCTTGATGTTGAAGTTTTTCCCCAACATCAGATGTTTGAGGGAGGGGTGGCGGGAGAATGCCGGAATAACAGCCAGCAAGTCTGCATCCAAACCTAAACAAAAAAAAACAGGCACACAACTTAGTTGAGCACAAGTGCAAAGCAGGCAGAACAAAAAAACTGTCATTTTGAGATCCTGCTCCACAGATGATCTTTAACTACAGTCATAATAGTGCCAATAAAATATAAGAACAGGTATTAAATTTGAAATGTTAATACTCAAGGGGAAATAATAAGATATACACTGAATAACTGTTTTTTCCCTTATCATTTAAAAAGAGGATAATTACTCAGGTTACCTTTGATACAAAAATTAGTTTGACAGCAAATCTGTATGGGGACCAATGATCTTTAATTGCACTGTAACTTGTCTCTTTTCCAAACCACACAGAACTTTTTGTGAATAAGCAATAGTCTTAAATTTTAATCATGAACAAGTTATGATTTACCACTAATTTGGCTGATTACTGACAGACCGACTGAGAGAAAACATCCTTTAAATAGATCCTGAGCAACATTATATAGGATATAAGTTCTCCAAAACAGCGCATCTTGCTCTAATGTGAAGAAAAGGGAACCTTTGTGAACCTTCTTCAAAGGGACAGTTCTACAAAACTGCATCAAAAACTAATCCAGGTCAGCTAAGGACACAGTTTAAGACTCAACTAGAAGAAAAACACTGGCCAAAATAATATCTAATAGTAGATTCATGTGAAGTAACAGCGGAGCAAAGGTAAAAACAAAAGTTTGTGTCACATGTGTTCAAAAACATCATAATTTGAAATTAAAACTAATTTAAAACTAACACGTCTTTTTTGATCAGACCATCCCAGTGACATTCAAAAATTATAATTGCAGCATTTTTTTAAATAACAAAAAAATCATTTTGTACCATAAATAGCAGGACAATCATAAGAAGGACATCAGATAGTTTAACTATTAATTTCAATCAGACTGAAATGTTGTGGCATGAATCTAACCGATAATGTAAGAAAATCCTTCAGTGTGGCAAAAGAATAAAACTATTTTAAAACGAGAAGGCCAAAGTTTAAAAAATGGGAATATAAGGGTCAAGTGGACAAATTATATTTTTTTTTCCACAAAGAGCCCTTAACAAATGAAATTATGATATTAAAGCCACTTAATGTAATTATTCAGGTTTTCTTTGTCAGACACCAGAATATATTTAATGGTCTGCAACTTTCTGTTCAGACAAAAAATAAAAGGAAAAAACATGTGAAGGGGGAAATACTTTCCCAAGGCACAGGGGATGCGGTTCGTAAGTTACAGGTCTAACTCATTGTTTCTTTTTACCATGAACTCTCACAATGACTGTTTTTCTTCATCTAACTCAATTTTTGAAGACAGAAAATTTCCACTGTCTACAAAAATTCCGAAATATTCCCAACTACACGCCAACTCACACCTACTCACCCATTTTGTAAAATAAAGGAGAAAAAGAGAAAGTGGTAACCATGGTAAAATGTGTCTGCATCCAAGACTAAAAATGCCTCATTCAGAGAGCAGAGAATATCAATGCAGAAAAGAGCCCAGATGCTTTCAAAGAGGATTCATCTTTTCACGGTTTCCTGCTGCATGATAAGCAGGAAGAGTCACAAAGCTTGCATAGATCCAGGTTTTTGAAAGGACATGTTTAGCGTTATTGATTCCAATAAAACATCTCAGAGATTAATGTCTGTTCAAGGACATTGAAGTTTAGCAGATCATGCTTTCGCGATAGAGGGTTTGCAACTTTATTGATAAAAAACAAGTTGAAACACATTTTCTGTAACTGTTGCAACATCAAAATATTCAGTTTGGTCTCAGCGTGATGGAGCTTCAAGGTTAAACATATTTCTGAGGAGTTTGATGAAATTCTGGCCATCTAAGCATGAAATACTCAGTGGGGAAATAAGCTGTTTGCCCCAAATCTTACCTCTTTGAAAGTGATTAGGAAGCATCTGAATGTAAAGTTTAAAAGAAAAAAAAAAATCACTAGTGACTTTTTGTATTCTTTACCAAATGATTTATGCTTTGTTGAGTTATAAGTGCAAAAAAGTATTTGTTTGCTTTTGAGGTTTTGGTCTGATAGACCATCACAAATCAGCATATAATTATGAAGAGAAGAAAAACTGATCCATTTTATACATTTTTTACAGATAAAAATGAGAATGGTCTTCATATGTATTTAGCTCCTTTTGCTCTGATACACTTAAAGAAGGCCCTGGAGGTTTCTCAGAGAACATCATTTAATTGTAGCATTGTGAAAATCAAGAAAAACATAAACGGGTCATGCTGGACCCATCATCACTGACAGGCCTGAGCTGCAGGGATGCCATGCTCAGAAAGGAAAATCAGTTGAAGGGATAATTTATGGTGATGTTCTTCATACTTCTACAAAAGTAGCATGAAAAAAAAAAAATAATATAAAAAAATAAAGCCATCAGTTGTCCACAGACCAGGTAAGGAACATGAAAGATCTTATTTAGCCCCTTGCAAACAAGTGTTTGCCCAAAAACTGACACTAAATATTAGCATAGATACACACGCTACCCCCAGCCTGCAACACAAGGCAGGTGGCTGTTTTAAACAAAGCGCCGGGTGTTTCTTGGGCCATGGATCCCAAAAGGAAAAAAGGAAAACCATTTGCTTTCATTACCAATGCGGAAGGATTGCCAGTATGTTTGCTTTATAACAGGGGTGTCAATCCAGTTCCAGAAAGGGCCGTGTGGCTGCAGGTTTTCTTTCCAAGCAAACAATAGTACACCAGACTCCAGTCATCTCATCAAGTGACTCCAATCTGAACATGATGACTTGATGAGATGAATGGAGTCTGGTATACTATTGTTTGGTTGGAAAGAAAACCTGCAACTGCACGGCCCTTTCTGGAACCGGTTTGAGACCCCTGCTTTATAATGAGAAGTTGTCAAATAATAAAATTAATAATTTGGAAAGGCATTTCAAGGGAAGGAATGCTAAATATGCAGCCGACCACTAGGTTGGTAGTGAGAGAATAAATGTTATTGCAGAACTTCTGGATAGATTATAGGAGCACATAGATGGATTTAAGAAGTGAATTGCATTTCCAAACTCCACTACTGCTGCTAGTTTTGTTGCAAGCATGGAAAACCTTTCACAGAGCGAACAGGTACCACTCTTTTTTTTTTTTTTATTTTCCCAAATTCTCAATATAAAAATAACACAGAAAATCTGATTTTTTTTTTTTTTTTTTGTATTTCTCTAATTCTATTAATTCAACAAAATCTAATACATTAATATTGTAATGGAATTAAAACTTAAAGCACCAAATAGTGTACAGCAGAGTAGTCACATGATGTATCATTAAGATGAATATTTAATTATGAATTCTTATTATATATTTAAGCCCACGTAATAATTTTTACAGTGGGCTAATACACTTAGAGCCTGTGTTGCTCTACAAGGCTTATATAAGACTTTTACAAATCTGCGGCTCCAGCCAAATTTTTTTTTGGTCAAATATGGCTCTTTGAACTGTTTGGGTTGCCGACCCCTGACTTAGATGGTGGAAGGATGATGGATGGATGGAGAGAGAGAGAGAGAGAGAGAAAGAGGTAGAGCTTTATTTGCTCCTTAATGTATAAGTGAAAGTAACCTTGGCTGTAATAGAGAGAACAGGCTTTGCAAACCGATTTCTTACCATTGTCTGAGATGTCTAAAGTCCCCACACTTGCAACACGAGGAAAAAGTTCCTGAATCACGGCGGCACCTGCTGACCTCAGCTGTGGGAGGAACAAAGAGTGAAGTGGACCATGATGGGATTTTAATCTGAAAAGTTTGGGAGTGGATTTACATAAGTAGATGGCCAGCAGTTGATACCTCACAGCTGCTGATGTCCAGGTGTAAGTCGGAGATATGCGGATTGTTGGACAAACCCAGAAACAGAGCTCTGAAAGAAAATCAAAGAAAAAATTAGCAGGCAACATTTGAAAATAAAATAGTTGTGGCAGAACATATATTGAAGGTAGAAGATATGTGTGGAAGAAATTAGAACATTGATAAGAATTGGCAAAAATAAGAGAATGAGGCAATTAGAGCAAGTGACAGAGAGTGAAAACTGAAAAAGAAAAGGTTCCTCTTCTTCCTAAATCCAGCCTTGAATCTCCTCCCTCTGAGAAACCTGAATGGGATCGACTCCTAACCCATGCTGTTCAAAATTTCTCTGAGCACACACCTAAAAGTTTTAGAGCCTTCTTAAAAGATTAGAGAAAAGAAGCTTAGAAAGAAGAGGTACTTCAAAAGCTTTCAATATTTATTAAGGTCAAACAGTCAGTTGTAATGGGCATAAAACATTACACAAGCTCAGCTGGATGTATCAGCACAGCAGGACCATGCAGGAAATGTATCCTGCTGCAAAAAAGTACACATTTGGGAGTGATGCATCAGAGGGAGCTAAGTAGAAAGAAAGTCAGCCCCATTTTGGCTGGCATCCATCATGCAGCATGCAGCTCCCTCGCTGCTGCCAATTTTGTTTTGTTTTTCCTGCTATTGATTGTGGTTTTTGGCTGTGGCTTGTTAACAACAGGCTGTTCACCTTACAGAAAAAAAATTGGAAATTCGCTGCGCTCCATTTATCCCTGTTGAGGGAACTCTCATCTTCTTGGCCACACTGTGAGCAGGTTTTAGTAACAGATCTCCTGAAGCTGCTAAGAACACAGAGTCCTGTCAGCACAGGAAATTTTTGCCAACCCAGAGGCTTCAGTCTGGGTCGTCTGATTCAAGGCCAGTCCACCGACCTATTATTAAACTGGATCTACCTTAGACGGAAATATTGGAGGATTAATTTGCAGATGGTTAGGGAGCAAACTACCTTCAACATGCACACATTATTGTAGAATGCAAGCTTAAAACAATAAACAGAGGAAGAAAAGAAACATCCACAAACTGAGAGTGAGTTACCATGTGATATAAAACCTTTAAGACCCTTGTGGTCAGCCTTTTATGTCTCTATGACTCAATGCTTTTAAGAATACAAACTATGAAACAAGGTATACAGTTATGTGGAAAAGTACTTTTCCCTTAACAGGTTTGTTCTGTTTCAATACTTAATATTAAACACCTAGCCTTATCTGAAAACAAGTTTAATCATTTAAAGCTTGAGAATCCTGAGCATTAAGTAGCAAGCAGGAAACACCATTAAGCCATTAGTTCAGATATGTTGCTGATACCTAGATTCAAAATAAATCTCAGGAAGTCCAAACTTTCACCAGTCACATCAATTCTGTGGATAAAAGTATGAAGTTCACATGAGAGGATGTAAAAAAATCAAGTTTAGCTTTTCTGGGCTGTGAAGTCTCAGTCTTAGATAAAAGACAGCAAAAAAGCTACATATGCTGAGAACCCACCCACATAGAGCAAAACTTACAGTTCGACTCCCATCACCTACTGGAGCTCAAGTTAGAAGTCATCAGAGCTCTTTATCACAGGGCTGATAACATCCTCAAAAATTCAGCAGCCAGGGAGAAGGAGATATCTCACACAAGAAATGCCCTGTAGAGCAATGCGGTAATACCAACAGCATTCCTTAAAGCTGAAGTCAGCCATCAGGTGGAAAGTGGGATAGCAAACCCAGATCCAGACAAGTTTTAAAGAAACTGAGATGTTTATGTGTTAAAAACTCAACCCAGTGGCTTATAAAGCCACAGTAAAAAGCTCGGAGAGAAACTGCAGACTTATCCTGAACTTTTCAACAAACACAACTTTCAGCTTCCACCCCCTTGCTCTCTGTCACACTATAAACCTTCTCCCCACAGCTCATCCTCCCAGCGGAGCCAGCTGTGAACTCATAAGCCAGTAAGCAAGGCCATAGATGATACACAGCTTTGGGGCATTCACTGGTAGGTATGAAACATCAAAGATCTTTGCAGTGGTGCTCAGCTGCAGTACACCTGCAATCTTGAGCTTGAACGACAGTGCATGCTGTGTGGGTAAAGGGGTGTAAATGGCACCTACATCAGGATTACTGACACTGCTACGATGGTATTGCTGTGTATGCGCTTAAACGCCAGGAGGACTGTGAGTAGTTAAACATTGGGGAAACAAAGAAGCCACTGAAAGAAGAGCAACATCGTCTGGTGGTTTACAATCTTCTGAAGACAGGCCAAGAGTCGTTCTTGGATGTTTTCATCCGGGATTGGGAGGAACATTGGTTGAATGAGTATAAAGGAAGCCATTTCTGTTAAGAAAAGCTGCCTAGCTTTTTAACAAGGTTTGAGTCCATTTCTCTTACAATGCTTTTTATGCAAGCATGATTTGGCCATCTGGGCACACTATGATGACATAAAAGTACCAATGATTGGGTGTTAGGTTGGGGGTCTACTTGTACATATCAAAAATCTTATATTATTGACACATTTAAATTTGTCGACCAATTATGCAGATATGCTGCTCATAAGGCAAAGGTTACTTGTAGCTCCTCAGAATGAAAAATCTGAGAATACATTCACATTTTAACAAAAAAAAGAACTCCAGCAGACTTAATTTTTTGTTCTTTTTTTAATGATTAAACAACAAAATACTTTTCTTTTCTCAACTGTAGGTACAATTAACACTACTTGTAGCTCTTGTTTGGGAAGTCATGTCCAGCTCTGCTGACGGGTCTGAAAGATTCATTACATCCACCAAAATTAACAGCTTTAGATTTCACGTTAATGCTTTTATGACCAAGCAATAGTTTTTTTCTTTTATCTTTAAAATATTGTTACCTGACATAAACCGATTTATTTCCGTGAGTGCATGATAAACTGATTATGTGCATAAGGCAAGTTCCTCTTATTCAACTCATTTAAAGTTATTTAATAGTTCACACCACATGTCATCTCAAGGGACTTAACAGAGACAATTTAACCAATTAATAGAAACATACATACCTTTTATATGAAAAAAAAGTAAAAAAAAACAACATAAAAATTAAATAAAAATAAACTAAAAAAAGAGAAAAACATAAAAATATAAAAATAACAAAACAGTAAAAAATATACTACCGTAAATAATACAACTAGTAAAAAAACACAACAAATAAAACAAATATGGCTTCACAAACTTTATTTGTAATAAATATATCTGAAAACTGTAATTTTGAAAATTGTGTGCTGATCAGACTTTAGGGCTTTCTGATGCTGTAGTTTTTTCTTTTTTGTTTTTTATTTGGGTAGGCTGACCTACCAATAATTATTTTTTTAGGTCAACAACGAAATGTCACACTAAACATTTAAGAAGAAAATGTGCTGTTTGGTGCTTAGTTAGAAATGTATCCATATGAATACAAAGAGGTATCTTGCATTTGCTATTCTTTCTACACTCATAATAATGTGCTTCTAAGTACATGCTGTGTTGTATAGACCAATAAAGGGTATTTTAGATTTCAAGAGTGCTAAAAAATATCTACATTGTTTTGTTTTTTCAGCGTTTTATTGTCATTACACTGTCAAAAGTACAGAGCAACAAAAGGAACTCTCTGGATTTAACCCATCCCATTCGGGAGATGTGGACTGCAATTGTGCGGCGCCTGGGGAGCAGTGTGGGGTTAACTATATATATAAATATCAATATCCATTGATATAAATACCTGTGTAAAAGCTCTGTGCAATAACCTGGTATAGGGATCCTACTATAAAAAAATTAAACTTAAAAATGTTATGAGAACTACATCTCATTTTTCAGACTCTACAATGGCAATAACTTGGGCAATGGATAATGTGCAGTTTACTATTTGGTACCCTGTGCAATAACCTGTTTGTCTATATTTGACATCCACTGCAATACCTATATATAAATATAAATATCCATCTTCAAAAAATACCAATTAAACACCATGTGCAAAAACTTTTTTATAGTAATCATACAATAAAAAAAAAACCTGTCAAATGTGGATGCACTGTATATACTGCATACATCCCATGCACCTTTTTCTTCCTTTGGCACATACTTCTTCCTTTACCATTTCAAAAATAATAATTCAAAAATACCTTAACAAACAAAAATAAAATGAGGCCAGTGTAAAAAAATTTTTTTAAAAATAATAAAAACACTGTTACACACAACAGTTTTTGTGTAGTATTATTTTTAACTCTTCAATTACTAAATTGGCCCCAGAGGAAAACAGTATGTTAAAGATTTATTTGAAGGTTTTGATTTTACCGTTGAATAAAATATTACATGATTTACCCAAATGTATGCATCACTGCACATGCCCTCAACCTTTATGACTTTAAACTCAAAACAAAAGGCTTCACATGTTCATTGACACATTGATTATAAAGTCCAGATAATGACAGTTCTCCCCTCTGATGCATCTAATAAAGAAAAAAAAATCATTACTATCAATATTTGTCTTCAAGTCTGAGCAGATCCAGAATAAATTACCCAACTATGATAAGTGGCCAAATAATTGGAGTATTAAAACCTACTTACTAAACTTTGTGAATGTATTTAATGTACAAACTCAACAAATGCTGGAAATGCAGTTTACTTTTGTCGACAAAGTAGATGCTTATTGTCCAAAGACATTGCAAATGAGGGGAGAGGAGATTCAATTACCAAGCGGCTGTCACAGGTGGTGAAAAATTTGTCAGAAAAACACCATCAGCAGAATGTTCTTGGTATAGAAATATGAAAAAACACCACATTCATCAGTATGTCATACATCACAATAATAACAGGTAATTATCACAGAATAAACATGAGATGATCCATATCAAATTGTTCATCCAAAAAATATTATGTTACAAAACACTGATGGTTAGCTGAGTCCAATGACTGTTTTGAAGGTTTAAATCATATTATTATTAACGATATTATTTGTTTTAACTTAGTCCAGCCTCATGTGATAATGTTCACGAACAGAATCTATTAAATAACAAAATACATACTGGGAATTTTTTTCACTGAAGCCTCCTGTCCTTATAAATATTTAGAAAAAGTTGAAGGCAAAATAAAATAAAATTCCAGAACATTGCAAAATAGTATATTTTAGAGAAAGATATCTTTAAAATATATGGGGATTACATACTTTTTTTAAGGCTCTGATGTAAAACTGAAATAATGTTGTATCTAATAAAAATGATGCATGTTTTAGTGTTTTATTGTGCACCATCACCAGCCCCAGAAAACACTGAATAGTAAAGAACACCCCATCACTTTCCAATGACTTATTGGTATGGTGGAAGCCTTTTTAGAACAGGGAGAAATATTGAGACTGTGGGAGTACTGAATGTACCGCCGTACCGGTAGAAATCCTTACCTACTGATGAATCAGCAGAGAACATGAAGAGCACCAGGAGCTGCTGGCTGCTCATTTACAGCTGGGTAATTAGGGCTCTGTAACTATGTAGAAATGTGATGATGCTGCTCTGTCTGTTGATTCACATTAATTAAGACCTAAAACCAAACATTTCTGACTCTCTGATCTTCTAAGCTCTCAGAGCCTTATCCACTTTTGATATAAAAGAGATGAGAAGCTTCAGTCAAATATGCTGGGCTCTCAAAGCAGGCCACTATATCTTATGGAGCATCATAAATATTCAACATTTAGAAATAAATCATCTGTTATTTGTGATTGATGACAACTTACCTATAGTCAGGTTAAGTCAATTAATAGTAGAAATTGCCCTTTTCGAGAACATGGATGATCAATAATGCTAATGGTGCTTGTATGGTAAACTGAAGGATTATTTTTGCTGTTTTACAAAAATATATATTTAAAGGCTATGATTAAGCATCAGTCTTCTAAATCTAAAATGTGGAAGATGATTAGATTTTTTTCTACACTGAACAGAGTTTTTTTTAACATGTACATGGGGATTCATGAAAGCCATAACGAGTTTATTAAAATACAGGAAAGCCAACACTTTATACAGCTTTAAAGAGCTTATTGTGAGGACCAGCTGCATTATTTGCAGCATATGTGTGTGGATTTTGTAGACTCACCTGATGGACTCAAAGTACAAATTTTTTAAATAAACTACATATGGTTTTCAACCAATTAGGTAACTGCGATGTTTCAGCCATTCACCAGAATGTATACGGAATGGGCAATGATTTTGTTATATGGAACAAACAGAAAAAGGCAAAAGATTGGCAACATGGCAGACCCTTATTTGGACGCTATTTAAAGAAAAACACTAAAATATTTAACAAACAAGAAATGGAACTCAGTATAAACTTCTCAATTAAGGAAAGAATGTTATTTATAAATTAGTAGGTGGCTTTTAAAAAGACCTTTTCTATTTAGCCCTTACAACAGTGGTTGACAACCCGCGGAGCCGCATGCGTCTCTACAAGGCTTATATAAGACTTTGATATTTGACAGATACATTGTCAGGGTTAGTTGCGGTTTGAGGACCCAAACGCAGAGGCAGAGAGGCTGAGGTGATTTCTTGTGGATTTAATCAAAAAGGTAAACAAAGGCAGGAATGCAAAAATTCAACTAATAATGAAAAGCAAACCAGAACTATGGAGACATCAAGGGAAAACCAAACACGAGGAGCCAGGGAGAGACGAGGAACACGGACAACAGCATAGGAGGACAGCAAAGACAAGGAACCAACAAAGAGTGAGAGCAGAGGGAGACCATATATAGCAGACAGAGACAAAGGGAAGGTTAACGAGCTGACAAGGAGCAGGTGTGAAAGGAGACAACGAGGGAGCCAAGGGGAAAGGAACACACACACACAAGAGGGCAACAGAGGACAACAGAAAAACATGAGAACTAACATAAATATAGAAATTACAACAAAACTGGAATTAAACCAATAAATCTAGAAAACAAGGAGCAAAGTAAAGAACAACAGAACCAAGACCATGACATACATTTTTTTTTTTTGGTCTAATATGGCTATTTTTTAACATTTTGGGTTACCGAACCCCACCTTAAAAGAATTGTTAAATCATTCGTCATTCTCAAGTACCTCAGCCCCACTCTGCACTCTGCCAATGTTCGAACTCTCCAGGTGGCCTCAAGATCAGCCATCTACCGCCTCTGCCCAGCTCTAGGCTCTGGTGACATCTGCCGGGCATCTGGCTCAGATTTACCACTGTCCTTCTCCAAACCCCAGTAGAGAAGGTGCCAGAGCAGGAAAACGTGCGTGGATCCCATCTCCCTGCTAGCTCCCAGATCAGCTTCTCTGATTGGTTGTGCAGCAAAACGTTTTTATTTCCAACTCCAGTCAGTATCTGCTAGATCTGAAATTTTTGAACATTTGAACAAAGTTTCCAGGGGAAAGCAGGGCATGTAATTTGTCATTTTTTAGTAAAGGGCGTACAATATACGGCCTTACGCATTGCTAGCTAAAAGCCTGCGCGGATTTTACCCTACTCTGGAGCAAAGTGAGCTGATAGCAGGGGATGTAACAAAGTCTTACTCTTCTTGTGATCGGTTTACAACGAAATCATCACCTGTGTTGTATAAGTTCTTGTGAATCACCAAAACAATGAATTATTGCAAATCATAGCTTGTTATGAAAAATGCATTAGTCGAATCATGGCAGACAAGTCTTAAATCTGCACACAATGCAAAGCATTTCAAAGATCACTGTATTTTAAAAATCATGATATAGTTGTGTACGCATCACAAATACTGTCTTGAATCTGTCTTGAGAATGTGTAAATGACATGTGCTTGCTTGAATCATTATGTGCATATGTGGATCACATAGGAGAGTTTGTGAATACTGAGACTCTTCCAGCTGCATAAGTTCAATGTGTCTCTTTTGCCATTCAGTATAAACAGAAAAAGGGAAAATGGTTGCATGCTGTACAGCACAGGGATGATCAATAAGAGATGATTTTACCATCATGTATTCTAAGGTACTTCTACATGCAACTGTACAAAGAAAGCTAATTTCCAGAGTCTTAGAATATTTTAGAAGTATATTTATGTTGCTTTCTATCCACATTTCCTTCTCCCTTAAAGTTCTCCTGGCATTTGTTCCACCAAAGCAATCCCAGGGCTAATTTGCTGCCTGTTTCATATTGTCCTCTTTAATGGAAAAAACACAGCTCCAAATTGTACAGTTGAGCTGGTTAGGATTTTGAAATAATCTAAAGACATCTATTGTTTTCTTTAAAGAACTGTTACAACTTTAGAATGGTGATATGAGGGTACATTATAAGATCAGCACAGGGAAACTGAACTCAGAATAAAAGAGATAAAATATTTTATATTTACTACAGAAGTTTTTTTCCCAGTAACTTAATGGTTAGGGAATAATCTGCTTCTGTGGTTGAGGAAAATCCAACAGGTCATTTTTATTTGAAAATCCCCACTGTTCCACTGATTGTTTCAATTTATCTCCACTGGGAGCAAAAACAATGCCGTTCAGATGTAAACTGGAGATTAGTAGATTATAAAGCCTAAGGAAATTCAGCAGTTGTAGCCTGTGTTTCTATTGTGGGACAGAAAACATAATGCGTTGTTAGACTGATTTGAAGCATTATTTACATTACCAAGATGTAAATATATTTCCTAGCAATCTAATTTGGGGACTGCTTTATTGTTCAACACCACATTAAAATTTGATGTGACTATGCTTATATATGACCTTAATGTGGTGCTTTGCTGTCAACGTTGCTTTACTAACTTCATTAGAACCAATTCTAGCAGTGACACTGATTTACACGTCAATTGAGAAGTGACAGACCTTTATTTTTCTTTTTTACGGGTCGCTCTGTCTTTCAAACTGGCTTTTAAACTGAATGGACTCATTTGAAATTCAATTTAAAAGATTCAGGAATTAATTACAGCAATTTTCGCAGCCTACAGAGGTTACTTAACATAAGGGCTTGCTGGCAGACTTTTATGAGACTGTTTAAATCCGTGTCTCACCTGAGTGAATCCGGAGGGAACTTCATGGAGGCCATGCTGACATGGGTCAAGCTGAAGGCCGAGCTGAAGAACTGCCGGAAAGTCGGCAGAGAGTCTCTCCCTCTCCTGGGAAAGGAAAATAGAGGAAAAAAGACGTTTAAATAGAGAGAGTCGGATCATGGCCAGGCAGACAACAGTACATAAAAGTTTTTAGAGAAGAACAGATGGAAGATGGGACAAGAAGGGAGAACGAGTGGCATGGCAAAGAAAAAGCTTATAAAGAGCGACAGAGAGTGTTTAGCAGATGAGAAGGGAGCTGACAGAGAGAAAATGTGATAGTGGTAAAGCAGACAGACATTTAGGTTAGTATTACATCAAGAAGACACTACTGGACTTGGCATTTATTAAAGCCACTGCTTAAAAGGTAAGGATAACAAATCCGCCAACCATCTGCTCGGCAAATACAGTAAATTAGCCTGTCAACAGGGGGAAAGGGCAAACAGAGAGGGTGCATATGCAACTGTGCTAGTTCAGATGTGGTTAGCACTTGTCATGGCAGCCAATCTGCCACTGTAGCTCCCCATCGTACAGATAATTCACCACAGCAGAGGATGGAAAAGAGTGTCTGGAGAAAAAGGGAGAAGTGATGAATGGAAGAAGAAAGGTGGGAGTGAGAAGGTGGGGGCTGAAAGATGAGGTTTGTTTTTCAGGAAATGATTACCTACTACTTCTTTTCAGGAAGCTGGTGACCTGCTTTATTTATATATATATTTTTTTCTTTTAAAAAGCCTTTCCTGGAGCAATATCTGGTCACCCTGCGTCTGACCAAAAATTAGTTTATATCTATTACAGTGAGGTTTATTTAGGAATATCCTGCCTGGAGCAGGGAAGTGTAATAGAACCTGAACCTCAGAAACAGCTCATTGCTGAAAATGCTGCCATCTACATTCCTCTTTGATTCCTAAGCGAATATTCATCACATTTTCATGTGTTTGCCACAGCTGGTCCATAGATATGAGAGCGGTAATGTAACTGATTGTGAATAAAATGACTAATCACTCTGTCTTTCCAGTTCCTGGTTCATTTCAGCACACATGATGCTCTGTGCCCCCTCTGTGTCCTTTTGTGTCATTACCCAATGCTCCCTGATGATAATGGACTCAAAATTAGAACAACCAGAGCTTGACTGATAGCTTGCCAAGTTTGGCTTTAAGGATAATGAAAAATTACAAGCTACAATGGATTTTGTTTGGGTGCTTTCTCATTTCCACAGCCTGCAGGTTTCCAAACATGTAGCTAGAATGAAAGATTGTTATTTTTATTATACCTCTCTAGGAATCCTCCCATATTCAGCATGTACAGATAAAACCATGCTATCTTGTAATAATACTGAAGAAAAAAAGCTTTTGTATTTGGAAAAAGGTAAAATGCTGTAAAGACTACAATTTCCCCATTGTGGGACAATAAAGGGATTTTCTATTCAAGTCTAGTCTAATTGCAATTCAATAAAGAGTTTGTCTCTTTCCTACAGTATTTCATTAATGGCCACAAACCTCATTTCTACATAATTTTCTGTGATAAGCAAATAAACATAACTGTGAACTGGAAATAAAACACTTGCTTTGCTCATGTACACATTGCCCCTTGTGCACTTTTTTTTTGAGAATCACCTCAAGCCAAGTCAGGTTAGAAGGAGTGCCTCTGTCAACATACTTACTGGAAATACACTAATGCATCGGATGACTTATACTTTTTTTTTTCTCATATCAGCGTCAGATCTGTAATTTCCCTCTGGGATTATTAAAGTATGTCTGATTCTGATATGTTACCCACATTTGATCACAAATTCCACCCCCTCTATTTGCTCTCCATCATTAATGTTTTCTTAATTTGTTCATTTTTTCTTTAAACTGGGAGTTATATGTTACATTTATTAACATTGTGTCATTTTTATCATATCAATGGAGGAAGAGAAAGTAATATAGGGTGTTGCACTATAACACACAAGCTCGCACAGCTGCTGCCAGGGTAAGTATAGAGTTGGAGGGAGAAGTAGAAGTAGTAAGTTTACGCCATGGTAAGCTTTGATTTTGGAAAACAGCACTTTAGTGCCCCTTGACAACAAATATCGTCATGGAAACACACTGTTAGAGCCTATTGAGGAGAGTAGACAACTTTTATATGCGCTATGAAGGTGAAGATTCTCAGTCATCCAGGTCATAGTCATTCTAAAAAAGTTAAAATGCGCTAGTTTTGGCAAACAAATTATCATTTTAGCTCTGTGTTTGCCATTTGTGAAATAAAACCTAATTTTAGAGGGAAAATAAGATTGTCATATTGTGTCCCACTACACTTCATACTGACAAGCAGGCTATACTGGGGCTCATAAATTCAGAAGTTTTCATTAAACTCATTATTAAAAGGCTCCAATTTAGTTGTAATCCTGTTTTGGATTTTCTAATAAGCTGCAGCATTTCTACTTAAATGTTTAGTCCCTTGTGTTTAAGTGAGGAGGGAAATTTTCAGTTGTTTGTAAATACCACATATTTATATTTTTAAGGTGTTTTTTTGTTCAAAAGTTTTAAAAAAAGAATCAGAAACAAAACACCTCCCATTAGCCATTCTGTTATCACTTTAAGCTGTTTGCAGCCATGTGTTTTCATTTTCAAATGCTCATCTGTAAAAGTGAAATCTAATTTTATAAATACATTAAATGTATATTTATTAATTTCACAGGGAGATGGAAACAATAAGGTGTGGAGCCACTAAATGAAGGATATAGCGTTAGATGAAGAATCTGTGCTGCTAAAGTTAGTCAGGGCTCCAGCACCACCAAGGTGAAAAAAAAACACCACAGATTTAAGGCAACATCTAAATCCGAACCACAAAAATTGATTGTATTTGTAGTCTTATGTTGACACCAGTTAAAATCAAGTTGCTTATTTTAATTGTATAGTTCTGTGTTCCGTTTCTTTTTTTTTATTTTTATTGTATTTGTGGTTATTAAGAGAATTCAAGTTGGACTATAGTTGGACAGTGCATTTCCCGTCTATGTCCTAAATATACATAAAATATTTAGGACAATATATATCGGCCAGAATATCGGATACCGTTTTTTTAAAGCCCCCAAAATCATGTCGACCAACATAGATATATATATACATATATTTGATGGTATACCAAGGAACAACATTTTTTTTTTTTTTTAGATTTCGGAATATTTGTTAAAACTATGCACTTTTTCCTTATACTTGACATTTCTGAATTAATCTGCACTGGATCTACGTTCACATTAAAAATAAAACATACACTCTCCATTTAGGGCTGTAAAGTTTAAAAAACTGCCTCAAGGGGTATGTTTACTGTTGCAAACCGTTGTGTTTGCTAAATCTATCTCAAATCCTCTAATATTCACCCTATACAGACAAAACCATGTTAACTTGCCATTGCGATAACAATGAATAAACTCAGTAAGGGATAAAGACGGAGAAAATGGAGAGTAAATGAAATTATGCAGGCTAAAAATGGAAAAGGTCAATATAAAGGGAAGATGAAGCCATTGAGATAGCTTCAAGGGGAAAAGCAGGCAGCTGCATTAGAGCCATAGCTAAAGCGATAACCTTCTCGTGTTTGAAACACCAAATCAGTTTTTTTGGCCCACTTATAACGATTAGCATGTAGACGGTCGAGCCTTCACAGATACACACCAGCTTCTGTCTCCTGAGCAGATACAGTGTCGCCATTTCTCTCACCTTACCCCAGAGAGCTTTATCAGCAACTCTGAACCATAACTGCGTGTACTGTATGGGTAACAGTATCTACAGCTTTATTGTCTCTCAAAAGTGGAGATACATGCACGCGTACAACGGACAGGGTAAGTGATCTGAGGACGGTTTCATATTCATGAGAATCAGCAGCCGGGTCGTTCTTATCAGCTCTGCTCAGCCTCACAGCTCCATGCTGTCACAGCTACGTCGGGCTGTCTGACCGGCAGCACAGAGCCAGCAGGCATTTAAACACCAGAGGACCAGCAGGAGGTGGGAGGAACTATGAACAGAAGGGAAAAGGAGGGAGTGCTGGGAAAGATGATGAAAGGTGGAGGGTGCAGAGATGAAAGAAGAGTGGTGAGGAGAGAGAGGAAGCAATGAAAAGAAAGAGATAAAAATCCAACAGAGGTTGGAGAAATCATACTCAACACTCAATCAGACAAATGCAAAAAAAAAAAAGGTTAAGGGGGACTGAGAGATACAGCAACTGCATATACAGAGCAGTAACAGAATGCATGGATGGGAGCCTAGGGATTGCAACAATAATTCCAATCTAAAATTAGTCTCATTTTCATCAAGTTCTCCCTCTCTGTAATTCTGTAATGCAATATGCTTAGCGTCGGGACTCCTGGACCCCAGCGGGATTTGATATGAGAAGATCCGGAACCTCTTCAGCCTTCCAGGAAGGCAAATGGGGGGACATGCACATTCAGTTACTGCGCACGTAAGAAAATGAATCAATAAAAAAAAAACTTGTTGGCATGCAAAAAAGCACTTGACAGACTGAAAACTTGTTGGCAAACAGAGACATGTGGGCATGGGAAAAAAACCACCAACACATTCTGCAAACACATATGCATGAAGGCACAGAGAAAAGAAAACAGGCATATTATCTCAGTGAAGTCTCAATCCACTCATCTTGATGAAAATAACTAAAAAAATGATCTCTAAATGCCTCTTGGTTTGAATTTTCTGTGCTTTTTTATTTTATTTTTTTTTATCTTTCCCTAAAATATGAAAAACAGAGATATCTGAGGTGAATTCTGACCTGTGAGAGAAGGAGTTCTTGGACAGATTCAAGTAGGAGAGGTCAGCGCAGCAGCCCCGCAGCAAGGCCCCAAATAACTGCCAGAAGAAAGACAGATCAATACAAACAGTCTGTTCAAAACTGCTTGGTGATCACTTTGCACAACAGTTATTCTAGGCGGAGAGAGAATGTTATAGCACAGATTAAAGCAGACAAAAAGTCATGCAATCCTTTTTTCTGCAGGTGACAGATAAAAGAAAATCCTCACTTGACGTGTCATGCAAGTAGTAAGAAAGATGCAGGTGTGAATAAGAATCTAATTACACTATATTTCAGATGGATTTAAACAGAATCCCGTATCTCTAATATAAATGTCTTCTTTCGACATGAAAGTATAAATGTTAGCAGATTTCAATTTTCAGCCAGGTAATAGACTCATTTCCAGAAAGATAGAGCACAGTATACCTTCAAGATGTGTCATGAAATACTGGAATGTAAATGATTGTTTAAACATAACTTCCTTCCATCTACTGCATAACAGCAATCCTTTGTAATTTTAAGTTATCTTAACATTAACATGTTTAAAAACAATCTAAGATATACATTTAATCAAAACCCAGTATTAATTATATTTATGTTAATTTCTAGCGTTGGGATGAATGCTAATTTTGAAGAAAGATTATACTGTTAGACTGAATTGGGTCTCATGTTTAATCATTTCACACATAGTTACAAAGCTGCACATTCAGGTTGACTTCCAAAATTAGCAGCTATTAAAATAAAAGACCCACTGTTGGAGATATAACTTATCTTCATCAATTATTTCTACACTTTTATCCATTGAAGGCTTAGTGGTGCCCACTCCAGCAGCCAGTGTTCCTACCAATCTGTCAATGTGTGCATGGAAAGTGCTCACCTGTCAGATAACTGTGCTAATTCCCGCCAGAGGGACCAAATGGGCAATAAGAAGTGTAATCGTATAGCGGTGAATCAAAGTTGAGCCCACAGTGCAGAAAAAAATAATTACCTACTATTCTTCAATTTGTTATCGTACATATTCATCAAATGTCGAGTTTTACATTAAAAAGGGAGAGAATACCTCAGAGAGCCTTAAATTAAAAGTGTGCTGAGACCCATTTGGTTTCTGTGGCTATAGAACATGATCAATGTTAAACTATTATTCTAGCCTCCATCTATCAATGGGCATATTAAATGAAACGCTCCTCTTGTGAGGATTTTTCCAGCTTTAAATAGGCAGCTTTAATAAGTGGGAAAAAAAAAAAGAACCGGAAGCCAATTACTCTTAGAATAAAGTGACCCAAAAGTGATTGTTGGACTCAACAACATTAAAACACTTGAGACGGTTGTCATCATTAGTGAGAGGTCAGACTATCTGACAGGTTCAGCCATTTCCTACCGACATAATCATTGCACAGTTTGTCTAATCAAGCATAGACTGAAGATTTTTGCAGATAAAAGTAAAAAAAGTATCAATAATTCAATTAAAACCCAACAGATAAAAAAGGACTTAAAGTTAAATGAGATGAAAAAGACAAGATGGACAAGATGAGCGCATCCTAGTCAGAACTCCGTCCCTACTGAGGAAGAGCGAGATTGAGAAGTTATAAAAAAGCAGAGTAGATTCCAAGCTAAATCTGTGCTCCACATTACAGGAGGATTGGTTTCTCAGGGGCAGCCATTTCACTGCGGAAAGGATTCTCACTTGTCAATTTCTCCTCTAATGGGGTGTTTAAACTGCTTGAGTGAGGTGAAGAGCAGCAGGAAAAAAACAACAACAAACAAATCACAGAAAACTCAGAAGTCTTGGAGCGGATAAACCATTAGGTTGATTTCCTTAGTTAAAGTAGAAAGTCAATCAAAAAGGAAACATTTTTGCTCAATACCTCATTTGGCTGAGAAGATAACTTTTTGTTATTTATGTTGCGTATAAAGTGGTTATGATAGGTATGTATGAAACACAAGCGCACTGATGGTGGCCAGGCCGTTTACCACGTATTTAAAATGTTTCATCCTCATAGAGGTCATAATTTATGTTATCACAATTTTCTATGTTAAGTTAAAGAATAAAGACCTTTACATCCAAGTCTTATTCTTTTTTTAATATCAATCTTTCCTCCTTTCTTCTCCCTCTCCCCTTTTTATTATTTCTTCTTCTCCTGTCTTCTTGATTTGATAACACCATAACCGTTTTATCGCCCCCATCTCACCTTTTTGCCATTTTTTCTACAGTTTTTTAATAATGATACTTCCTCTCTATGATTTACCAAAATTTACCTTAAAGTTATTTCTCTAGTTGGGTGAATTGCAACACTTTGTGATACATAGCACCAAGGGTGGAAAGTAATTAGTTACATTTACTCACATTACTGTAATTTAGCACAATTACTCTTTGCGAGACAGAAAAGAAAAACACTGCAGCAACAGTGATCCACCTGCTGAGTTAGTAATCACATCTTAACATAACCCTAACTATTCATTTGGGCCCTAGTGCTACTTCCAAAAACCTTGCTTTGCTTGCAGTTAAACTGGTCCCAGCACAGTAAACTTTTTTTGCAAATAGATATTGAACTGTCTAAACTTAAAAACTCAACAGGGAACTTCGCAAGCAAGAACAGGTAAGTGAGAAAAAAAAAAAAAGGTTTTAGAGTTTAATTAGAAACTATGCTGTTTTTCTTTGACAGTGGTGGATGGTGTTAGTTTTATAATTTTTTTAAACATTACAGAACACAATCTAAATATATAAAAAAACAACATAATTAGGATAGAATGAGATGCACATTTAAAAACTCAATAGTAGCATTAAATAGGTGGACACTAACTGATTAAATATAAACAATATAAGCTTTGTGTGATACATGTGACTGATTTATAATGGCTGAAGGTAAAAAGCAAAGCATCAGGCACTTCGTTTGGAGTCTGTTATTTAAAACACAGAAGGATATTTTGTGTTCCTGTCATCTCATACAGCAGGGGTCAGCAATTCCAGTTCCTAAGGGCCGGTATCCTGCAACTTTTAGATTATGACTTGGTCCAACACACCTGAATCAACTGGCTGCGTTTCCTTCTCAGTATGCAGTCATTTCGTCCAAGGTCTTCTCAATAATCTCATTACTTGATTCAGGTGTGTTGAACCAAAGGCACATCTAAAAGTTGCAGGATAGTGGCCCTTGGGAACTGGAATTGCCCATCCACCACACAGATATAGAAGCAAACTTCTAGGAGTTACTGTATATCTTCTCTATTGTCTGTTTTTGCTGTTTTGTTTTATTTTTTCTCTTTTCATGCACTGCTTTCTCCCTCTCTCTTTCTCTCCACTTATTCTAATCCTCTATTTCTTTCTCACCTCTCTTTCTGTCTCAGTTGCAAACAATTTTTACTCCCTAAATATATATATTTTTAAGTTCAATGTACAGGTATCAAGCGGAACCTTATGGCAACAGTCATAATGGTCTGCTTGCGAAAGCAAAGCTAGATGATGGACTATCATCTAGCTTTGGGACATCTAATCCTGGAGCTATATTGGCAAAACAAATAAAAAAGAAATAAATTACAGAAGGATAAGAATTGAAAAGCACTTATTTCTGACATGATGGAAAAACAACAACACTGAAATGCATTGATATAAAAAAAAATCACATTAGAGGCAGCAACCACCCATAGTACACATACAAAGAAATCAAAGCTCTTTAGTCATCAAACAAGTGTATGAATAAAAAAACAGGATGACACATAAAGACAAAAATGGGTTTAATATTTTGTGGAAATTTTGTCTTCCAAAATCCCCTGATGATTAAGATGCTATTTTAACCATTTCTTTAACATTCTGGAGCCTAAAAAACATGGTTGCTTTCATCTAACCTAACCACATTCTCCCTTTATTTCTCTGCCTTGTCTAATGGTTGTGCAGCAAATCTTAAACAACCTATGGTATGTTTTGTATAAATACCTTGGTGTTCACCTGGACAACAAACTAGACTAGAGACACAACTGTGAAGCCGTCTACAAGAAAGAACAGAGCAGAGAGCAGAATGTAGTTCCTAGGGAAGCACAGGTTGTTCACTGTTTGCAGCAAGATGCTGCATATCTTATAAGTCGGTTTTGGTGAGTGTGCTCTCTGCCTCCATCATCTGCTGGGAAAACAGCATCAGAGCAAATGAGTGAAACAAGCTGATAAAGAAGGCTGGCTCTGTTCTAGGAACTCCTTTAGACCCTCTGGAGATTATTTCACAAAGTAGAATCCTTTATAAAGTGAAGAATGTGGACAATAGTGAGCATCCTCTGCATCAGATTTTTGAATAACAACAAAGTATTTTCTGTCAAAGGCTTCTCCAGATCCATTGCAAGGAAAACCAATACAGAATCGTCCGGCCTACCCTATCAACACCTACAACAACTCAATGAAAACAAAAATCCTATGAGTTACAGCAAAATTACATTTTTTATTAGAATTTCCTACAAGAGCAGAGTGCTCATAGAGGCTATTGCGACTAAATATATTACTTATTGTTTTCATGGCAATGGTTCACACTCTTTCTAAGGCCCCTCTGTGAGTCCCCCTTGTATTTTGATTTTGGACAGCTCTTCAAATCTTTCTTTTGATTCCCCTATCAGAAGTTTTGCAGGGCACCAGGCCACTGCTGGTTTAGTTTAGATATGTTATGTTTTGTTTATTTTATTTCTGCAAAGGTTTTTTTAACTTTCTTGGCCAGTCAGACACTTTACTGAAGTTAACACTAAACTTTCAAAAAACAGCCTTAATGCTTACTAATAAAAATGACGCCACAAACCATTGATCAAGGAGTCTTCTCAGCAACTGATTAATCAGCAATTGTCATTTGTCCTCAAGTGAAACGCTCCTGCATCACCAATGTCTGGATTTTGCACTAGGAAGGTGTAGTAATTAAACAAATTAACAAAAATCTGATAAATGACAACATTTGGTTAATGGGGAATAAGCAGTTCAGACAGGTTTTACCCCAAGTGTTTAAAGAGCAGAACACAGTTTATACTATTCTCTAAACTGAAAAGGAATCTTGAAAAATGGACACAACTTGTCAAACTTAGCAGAGCAGAGCAGCTGAACACAACAATAATACCAAAAGTTTGTCAGTAAAAAATTAAGAGGAAAATATTCCCTTTTTGTTGGTACATTGTTATGTTATTATATAGTTTGTAAAATAGTTAGGTTGGAAAAAAAACTATTCTTTTCTAAACTATTAACAAAAAATGTGGTAACTAACTGCACTCTGTTGATTTAAACAACCTTTTCAAATAGCCAACATGATTTTCTGTCCCTCTTATTCTTCCTCTCTCTGGATATTAATGGTTTTAATGTGAATTTGTCTATTCTTTCTTTTCTTCTTTGAAATTACTTTACTGACTAGATATGGAAAAAAAAATACCAGTTGTCTTTGCCTTAACACTTGCTGTTTGTGTAAAACGCCTCAATAAATACTGCAGGTAACGTCGGGCTTTAGGATGTCGCTGGTAAAACTATCTTGTGTTTGTCAAATCTCTGTTTACACTGGCTTGTTTTTCTGTGTGGGCGGCTTGATCTTACAGTTGGCGTCATGTCAACTACTGACACATTTTAACCAGTTTCTTGGCTTTCAAATGTGCCATTTTGGCAATATGTGGTGTGAATTTCATGAGAGTGACCATATTAGATACATTTTAACATTTATGCTTTGTAATTCTTTTTACTTCTTACTGTAAATAATGGCTCATTACCGTTGTGTTTAGCTTCTGCTATATATATACACAGATTCATATTTATTTTATATATTCATACATGCCTATTATGACAAATAGGATTTTGTAAATTTGTACTTATAGCACCATCCAGTTTAAGCAATGCCAGGAATGAGCAAAATGTTGATCCTTTACTTGAGTTGCATGACTGAAGATGATTTGGTCTGACTTTACAGGTTTGGAGTTTTGCTTTCCTTTGCATTATGAGATTTTCATTGTCATTTTGAAGACATTGCCTGAAAACAAGCAAACAAAAAACAAAACAAAACAAAGGTTCTGACAGCTTTCAATCAACTGTCAGCTTTAAAGTAACATGGGCCCAAATTATGAAGGGAGGACAAGAGGCATAGCCAATTAAGAGGCTTCCCCATGCAAGACATCTAGATTCACATTTTTTTCCCTGACCTTTGCAGATATTTTAAGATTAAAGAGTATAAATATAAACCGGGCTAAAAATAAATATGGTAGAAACTAAGGAAATTTAATATGATAAGATCACTAGAGTAAATACGAAATGTATTTCTGCAAAAAGCTACGGCAACTAACCTTCTGGAAAGTAATCTCTATAAACCTAATAATCCGCTCCACTTTTTTTAGAAGAATTCTTAGGATGCTTTTACTGTCTGTTTAAGGGGTTGCCACAGCTTTAGAAAGTCTTGAGTGAATTTGGTATTTTTCAGAACTAAGCTAAGCAAACATGGCTACTACGGTCTGTCAATTTTAGGCTGATCGCCCCTCGTAACCTCCTGTAAACTACGCGACTCACGATTAATGTGAAAGTCGGCCCGATCGAAAGATTCTCGCACGACTGGAAAAACGCCCCATATCGCACAGAGTACGCCCGGCTTAAGGGTAACTCAGGCTATGTACACACTGAAGGTCTTAATACTTAATTTCGACTTGCTTCTAACATTTGATCTTTTTTATTTTTACTTTAGTGGTTGTTCAAATTAAATGTGACTGCGATCACACTTATGCCTGAATGGTTCAGGCTCCAACAAACAGGCTCATGGAGAAGGAAGGATGGAAGGAAGGACGTCACACAGCAGCAGCTGCATGTGGCTGTTAAAAACAAGACAAGCGAAAAAAATGTCTGCCTCTTACCCCATTTACAGCACCCTCTGAAAACCGATCTGTGCCGAGTTTGGTACGAGCTTGGTTCAATTAACCGTGCTGAGCTCAGTTCCTAATGACCATTTCCCACCACGCTATCATGGTTCCTCGCCTTCTAGTGATGGTCTATGGTACTACTCCTCTCTAGAAGTAAACCAGCAAACCAACATGGCAGCGGCCGTAACATTCAGGAAGTTATGCTTTGTTATCATTGTGATATTTCAGTCAGGGCGAAGAAAGCAACCTTCGGTGAATTTATAATAATAATTCAACTTTATTGTCATCCCAATGTCACAAGTACAGAGCAACGAAATGAATTCTCTGCATTTAACCTATCTCCTTGGGGAGCAGTGGGCTGCCATTGTGCAGCACCCAGGGAGCAGTGTTGGGGACCCAGAGTGGCAGTATGCGGGAGTGAGGGATCAAACTCACAACCTCAGGATTCAAAGCCCTATGCCCTAACCACTAGGCTGCCACTCACCCTGAGATGTACCTGAGAGGCAATTACAGACACAGGAAACGACGGATGTTGAGGTTCATCACACTGCTAAGCAGAATTATCACTGGAAATCATGTGGCGTGGTAGGGAAGCTAGTATTTTTATGAATGTCTGAAATTCTGTGTTCTGCTCATGCGCTCTTTGTTATCTGAAAATGGAGCCAGAACTGAACCACGCCAAACACTACTGATGAACTAGTACCAGTTTAGCGTGGTTCGGTTGTGTCTGGTATGGTCCTGTTCAGTTGTGCGTGCCATTTGCATTCAACAGTTACTGTAGCTCGGTTACCGTGCTCTGACTGATCTCGGCATGGTTTGAAAAGGGTAGTGTAAATGGCGCAGATGTCTCTGTGTTAATATTTGCCTGTTGAGTAATGGAAGCCATCCATATCATCACTGCATCATGACAAGTTTACAGAAGGTAAAGAAAAATAGGGCATAACTATTAACAATGGCTTTTAGCAAAGAGGTCATTGACTGCTGCAACTATAGAGAAGTCTTTGTGGATGGGTAAAGAGAATCAGGACATTGATGTATCTGATAAATTGCAGCATGACAGCTCAAACTGCATAGTCTATGAAAACTAACAAATACATTTCTGATTTAGTGCCAGACATGGTAGTGGCTCAACTCTGACTTTTTTTTTTCCCCCCAGGAGAAATGATCTGAATTGGGCCATTAACCCTGCCATGAAAAAGTCAGACGTGAGTTTTATGTATACTGTATGGGCAAAGATATCAGGATTTTCTGCTTAAAGTTTGCTGAAGTAAAGCAAGATGTCCAGATTCTTATGCAGAAATTTACACAATCACTCTACCTCTACCACTCTACCACCAACTTGTTTTGCTGCAAGTTTTATAATTTTTTTTTTTTTAGGTTGTTCTAAGCTTTGCTTCAGGAAACGTTTGATCTTCATAGTCAATATCAGATGTACATTGTTTATTTTAATACCTCCCTTCACTATTTGTCATATTTTAGTCTTCTGTCTTTTTTTTTTACATTTATCTTAATCTGTCGATAATTAGTATAATTTTTTATGTGATTTTAAAATAAGAAAAAATCTTTCAGCTGTTGCTGACTCCCAACCTCTATTTTTTAGAGCCTGTTGGCAGCACTCAAATTCAGCAGGTTCAGTTATTACTGTTATCACTGCAGCAAGACCAGATTTACTTTTTATTTAAGCCGACCTTAGCTGGGGTAAGTCAGGAGTGCCAGAGCTGCCATTGTGTTATGGGATCTTCTGAGAAACCTTCAATGAGCTTAAAAAAACATTGGTTAAAATTGTAGGCGTAATTCAGGAAAGAGCGAGGCTCTTTCTAGGTTTTTTTCTTTCCAATATAAATAATAGTTTAAAAGGGCATTTTGCGTTAACTCAGCCTAGCGTTGATATCTAGATTTGTTTGACTATCTGAAACATTTAACACTTTTTCACCGTCAAGTTGTGTTTAGAACATATTGGTGAATTTCAACCTCAGACAAAAACTGGTTCATCCCAAAGAAACAAAAACCAAACTAAAGCTGAATGGTGTTGAATATGCAGTACAATAATTCAGTCCAATGAGGACTGTTCAGGCTCTTACAATTGAGAAACCAAACCAAATTTCCTCACAGGTATGGCACAACACAGGAGAGTCAACAGCTCTGAGCAGAGAGACACACAGAGGACAGATGGTTTGAAAGAAATGTAAAGAAAGCATCTTCATTTAAAGAGAAAAGCCATCACTGAAGAGAGGATTGTGATTTCAGCTCCCAAGGATATATTCCTCTGTTTTTTATGTATTCTATAATGTTACACAAGCAGTCTCATCATGATCAAATCAAACATAAAACTCAAATAACCAAGGAGAACAATGGGTGGGTCATTGATTTGCATTTGATTTGGGCAAATATTCCTCAGGTGCCTAAAATACCAGGTATCTAACTAAAAGTTGTTTGTGTGAGTTTTTGTGTTTTATTTTTTGAGAAAAAAAAACAAAACATGGTTTGCCATGACCCGGAGGACTGAGAATTTGCTAAATCATCCCACCTCACAGTGTTTATTAAAAGCAATACACCACCAACACATACAGTATCACCGTCTGCTTCATTTCATGATTCACTTGTGTATTCAGTGATGCACTTTAGAAGCCTTATCAGCAGTGACACAGAGTTAGGCACATTCACATGCAGTCACAGAATCCTTCTCAGACAGAATACCCATATCCTATGAGCCGTTAGCCAATCTACTAATGGAGTGAGACACTACTGGTGCACATTTGTAAGCTTAGATGCAAGAAAAACAACTATGTCACTTTACTTTAGAGATTTACAGAACACTGCATTTATACCATATGTTTGTATGATTCACGAGGGGCTACTGATTTATGTTGCTGTGCCTGCTTGGCACTTTAGCCACACACAGAATACATCTCAAACTGAGTCTACTGAGGTTTTGCATGATGTGCCATTCACATTCAGGACAGCAGTCTGCAGCCCATTTTGGAGATGAAATAATAATAACAATAATAATACATTTTATTTGTAATGCCTTTACATTTAGGAAGACATCTCAAAGTGCTACAGGTAAAATCATCATAGAAGGTTAAAATCAAAATGTAAAACTAAACATTGCTTTAAAACACTTATGAATAAAAACAATAGCATAGTTGTAAAATCATATGGTTATGTTTGGACAGAGTCAATTAAATGGGAAAAATACAAACCAAGTCAACAGTGCAGTCAGTTCCTGAAAGGTCCAAATGGACCAGGCAGTTGGGCTGGGCCAAGAAGAGGTACAGGTTCTGCAAAAACAAAACACAGATTAAATGTCTAATTATTCAGGAAACTAATATTTGGTAGATTCAAAAAATTGTTACCAAACATTTTTATTTATATCTATTGTATTGACTAAACAGACTGAGCAATATTACAAAAACATCTTTATTTTATTTTATTGGAATATTATTTGATAAACCAACATCAAATATTACATTATTTTGAAATGGAATAAAGTGTAGCATGAATTCAGCTTCCTTACATCTTATGTCCCTTGACATAAGACTTCGATAGACCACCACCTATGTTTAGAAGTGATGACATTAGTAAACTAAGTCAATCTTTGTGTAATCTAATCTCACTATAAATCCATTGTACTGTGAAGGCCTCAGAGGTTTCTCAGATTAAGATAAAGGAGCACAGCAAACAGTTTAGGAAAAACCTTGTGGAGAGGTTGAGCAAGTTTAGGTTATTAAACGATTCCTAAAGCTTTGGGCTTCTTCCAGAGCAATGATCGATCCCGCTGAAAACAGATGAGGCATGAAAGAACTGCGAACCTACCAAGACACAGCAATCTCTAAAACCAGCAGATGATGCAAGTACGGCCTTATTAAGAGAATCAGCTAAGAAGTTAATGATAGAAAAACTTCAAAGAGGAGCAGGTCAGGATGGATAATGGTTACACAGAACAACAATCAGCCCTTTACACTAAAAATCCTATGATCATGGAAGTGGAAAAAAGAGGCCATTGATGTAAGAAAGGCATAAGGTGTCATTTTTATTATTTTCTGATGTGAATATTACATCCATTATCAAGACAAAACCTTGTGGTAACATTTGGTATGGATACTCAATTTCAGAATGGACATAGCAAAGCAAAATTGAAGATGAGATATCCTTTATGTCACATTTACATCTCCTAGATATAAATGAGCACTAATCGAGACCAGAGTGGTTTTCTCATTCTTCTCAAATATCTCTCTTGAGAAATAATTCCAACAGTGAGCATTGTGTGAGTTATCTAAATTCTCTTACATCCCTCTCTTTTCAAGATATCAGCTAAGAGGAAAATTTACACATATATTGGCGATTTCAAATATGTCTCAATTTCATCTCCTTACTGTCTCAGTTATGGCTTAGTGAGAAATAAACATACTGTCTGTCACTGCTCACTATATGAGTTCTCAGATTAATCTCATCCCAATCTCTTTAATTCGCATTCAAAACAACCAAGACAAAGTTTAAATCAAATTGGGTGACAGTGGCGTCAGATGCAGGAGTTTGCCTTGCAACCAAAGGGTTGTCGATTCTGGCTTCCAGTGTTGTTGTGTCCTTGGGTGAATGACAGAATGTAGTGTAAAGTGCTCAAGTCTAATAACTAGAAAAAGCTCTATGTAAGTACAGGCCATTTACCATTGCGAAATCTCTTTTTATAATGATAATCCCTCTGAAATATTGCTCAAATGGTTTTCTCAACTCAACCTCTTTATGTCTCAGTGATGATCTTTTTAACTTATATTTTGCTACTTATATGTTACTTATCCTAAGGGACCCTTAGGATAAATAACTCAGAAACAAACAGTGTTGGGCACGTTACTTTGAAAAAGTAATTAGTTATAGTTACTAGTTACTTCTCCCAAAAAGTAACTGAGTTACTAACTGAGTTACTCCACAATAAAAGTAACTAGTTACTAGTAAAAGTAATTATTGCGTTACTTCTGCGTTTCTCGCCCCCGTAACCCTTACCACCCAGCCCCCACCTTCTCGCCATGTGTTTCCAAAGCCAGCTGAATAGAGCGGACGACAAAGACAAAAACCTGCAGAGAGTTTTGCATTTATTGCAACTCAACGTAAATGACATCAGGGGGGAACGCGATGTGAAGTTTTTTAACAGGGCATTCAGATCTGGTGAATGCCGTTAGTCCCATCACCGGAAACAAATGATCACAAAATTATACGTATATGAGAAGCTCAATCTGATCGCTAGAGATGAGATTAAACAACAGATGAGCAACAAATTGTTCCTAAGAGTACATTGAAAGATGGATGGAGCTAAATACAGATCGATCCTGAAAAAGAAAACCAAAAGAACAATAAAATTGCCTGGATGCTGCAAAATGAAAAAAAAAATGAATGCAATTGTTAACCAAAATATAAATCTGATATTTGAAAACTTACTCCTAAAGATTCTCCATCCAAATAACTGAAGCTAAGCTTTTGTGCAAAAGAAAATTGACAAAAAAAAATCTATTCCTTTGATGTACAAAGCTCATAAAGATAAAATCCAGAAGACTCACAACTACAGTTGCAGCAAAAGGTGATTCACAAAGTAATGCATCAGGTGAAAGAAAAGTGAATTCTGTTGCATTTAGACAAAAACAGAAAGCCGCACATCAATTTCCTCACATTTCACTATTATACTTTACTTTATGTTGGTCTATAACATAAAATCCTTATAAAAGTACAAATATGTGTTTCTACACTACACAGGGGGTAATCAATACATTGGTAACGTACTCCACATACATGCAACATTAAATCAGAGATGTTGAAAAGAAGAAAAATTCTTAATTAAATAAACATTCAGTTACATCCTTTAGAGGCCTCAAAACTCAGTAGAAACATTATTTTCATTATTGGGCCACAATTGTGTTCTCAATCAACCCAAAAGACTATTTACATCAAAGTTTCATACCCTAACCCATTTTATGAGGATGTCTGTGTGCATGTAAATATTACTGTGCAGAATTATTAGGCAACATAATAAAAAACAAACATATACCCATCCAAACAGGTGTATGTTTTCCATCCCTGTAGATCTCACATTTCATGAAGATCACAGGTTCTCAATGGGGTTCAGATCAGGTGAACAACGGCACCATGTCATTATTTTTTCTCCTTTTAGACTTTTTCTGACCAGCCATGCTGTAGTGTATTTTGATGCGTGTGATGGAGCATCGTCCTGCATGAATATCATGTTTTTCTTGAGTGATGGCAAATTATTCTTGTACCACTTTTTGAAGAAGGTGTTTTCCAAAAACTGGCAGTAGGTCTGGGAGTTGATCTTGACTCCATCATCAACCCGAAAAGGTCCCACAAGCCCATACCATTACCCCACCTCCACCTTGCTGGCATCTGAGTCGATAAGGAACTTGCTGCTCTTTACTGGCCAAGCCTGGAGCCCATCCTCCTGGCCCATCAAGACTCATTCTCATTTCATCAGACCAAAACACCTTGGAGAAATCAGTCTTTAGATATTTCTTGGCCCAATCTTGATGTTTTGTCTTGTGTTTTGTTCAAAGGTGGCCTATTTTCGGCTTTCTTTGCCTTGGCCAGGTTCCTGAGTATTGAGCACTTTGTGCTTCTCAGCACTCCAGACATGTTGCAGCTCTGAAATATGGCACAACTGGTGGCTAATGGCTTCCTGGCAGCTTCATGCTTGATTCTTCTCAAATCATGGGGAGTTATTTTGCGACTTCTTTTTTCAACACGCTTCTTGACCCCTGTTGGCTATTTGCCATGAACCGCTTGATTGTGCAATGATCCCGCTTGAAAAGCTTGGTAATTTCCAAAATGCTGCACCCCTCTGAAAGACATCTGACAATTTTTGACTATTCAGAGTCTGTCAAATCTCTTTTCTGACCCATTTTGCCAAAGGAAAGGAAATTGCCTAATAACTAAGCACACCTTATATAAGGTGTTGATGTCATTAGGCCACACCCCTTCTCATTACAGATATGCACACCACCTGATTTACTTAATTGGTAGTTGGCTTTCAGGCCTATACAGCTTGGAGTATGACAACATGTATGAAAAGGATGATGTGGTTGAAATACTAATTTGCCTAATAATTCTGCACACAGTGTATATATATATATATATATATATATATATATATATATATATATATATATATATATATATATATATATATATATGTATATTTTGTTCAGTCTTTTGCAGTCAGCTGATAATTTGCAGGAATCAAACAACACCCTAACAAATCTACCTCCATTCAAATTTGCATTAATCTTTCCTGGTATAGATAGTCCAATAGAATATCCTTGTCTAAAGAAAAGAGAGAGGAGGAATTAACGAGGGAAGTTACCAAGGGACCTGAAGCAGCTCAAGCAGAGATGAGCTTCAGAGGACAAGACACTGTGCAGATACAGTCAATTGGCTGGGTGATTCACTGTTCATGCTTTTACATTGCTGTCAGAAGTAATTTAAGATAGCTGGAAGAGAGTCTATGCTCAGATGGAAAAATACAGAGGAATGTAAGGTAGATTGAGATCCCAATTCTCAGTGTTACCTGGCAACACTTGAATAGTTTCATAAATTATGGTAAACTATTCTATAAGCAGGTTTCTAGATACAAGAACATAAAAAAGTGGACATAGTACAAGATGATTCCATATTTAGGTTGTCAAGAGTCACTCACTGTGGCATCCTCTCCTGACAGAACGCCAGGGTTCTTGCTGAGGTCCAGGTGCAGAAGAGAATTTGAGTAGTCATCACTTGAACAAAGGGCCTGGGACAAAGAAACAACACCTGGTAGAAAAAAAAAAAAAGCAGAAGGGAAGGATGAATCACTAAGCCATAATCGCTTTTTTCCAGTTACAATGTGAAAACTCTACTTTTAAGCTCTTTGCAACTGTTGACAGTGAAATAGCAATACGGAGAAGCTCACTCAGTGATAAAAAAACAACAAACTGAGGAAAAAAATATGGGGTTATTTGACAGGTTTAAATAAAAAGAGTCAGAGGCATCAGAAACAGCAAGCTGACATTTCCTCCTGTCACAGTTTCTCCCTGAACTCAAACGAAGCTCAGATCAGGACGCCTTTCACTCAGTCCTCAAATAACAGCAACAGAAAAATCACAACAAAACAAGAAAATGACAAAATACAAACACCACAATGAGCATACTAAGTGGTGACAATAACTAAAAAATGTTATATATAAGGTATGCTGTTTTCTCCTTGATACTTCAAGGATCCCAAGCAACAGGTTCAGCAAGCAAACTTTGCCCTTTCTTTTGCTCCAGAGAGCATTTGTGGATGAAGTCAGACGTGGTGAGTGTGTTGCTTGAAAGCAGCCAAGGCGCTAAGCTCTTCATCTCTTAATTTGTAGTGATTAAGAGGGAAATGAGGGGAAGAGGGGGCAGAGAGACTAATCCTCCCCCTTTATCCATCTATTCATCAGTGGCTGCAAGTGAAGACTGTTAACAGCCATCAAGATGACCCAACGCACTGTAAGTATACCGTACAGATGCTTGTTTTAGCAGACACAGTGCCTTGCAGATGTTGTTACACAAGCACAAACATCACTGTGTTTTACTAGAAGTTTATGGGGGGAGATCAACACCAAATGCATAATTTTTAGGTAGGACGAAATAGGAAGTTCTTTTTTTTATATCCTAGGAACAGAAGCATGCCTGAGATGATCAAAATTTAGACAGAGAGAGAGATTAGGATAATCTTGGAAAACAGTTAGAGGCTGCAAAAGACAAGCATTATTGTCCAAGCAGGACAATAATCCTAAATGAGGGATGAACAGTTGAGGTCCAGGCATGTTCATGTTTTAGAATTAGTTCAGACTAAAATTCAACTGAAAAGCAGGATTTGAAAGCTGACATTCTGAGATGTTTTTCCAACCAATCTGACTGCAAATGGACATATAGAGGACATAAAAACAAAAACAAAAAACTTTACTTGCAGGTGTGAATACAAAAGGTAGCTACTGTATGTATATGTTGTACTGAGCAAATGCTGGAGAAGTTATTTTGTTATGTGGTAAAAACCTGAAAGCTATGTATCCTTTATGTTTAATTATTCTGATCTCTTTTCTTGTATATCAAGTAAAATTCCAATAAAAATACTGAAGTTGTGGTTGTGATCTGGCATATGAAGAAACAGTTAATTTATAAGATACTGTAAGAGTTTCCCAAACAAAAAGGAGGTATAGGAGGGGGAGAGATATCTATAAGTATTCAACAAAAAGTGGTCAGTTTCTCCAAATTAATGCCAACAACAACAGCTCAAGGTCAGCCCAAAGCATCCTGCTGAATCATTGGCTTTTCAAAAAAGATCACATTTGTAATGTGTCAGTGTCCCTATCTCAAACACTTTTAGCTTTAACACGTAGCATATCCTTATTTAATTTGCTGAATGGACAGACACAAGACAGCCACATCAAGGGCAGAAAGGTGAAGACAAAACCGTAGTGGATAAGAGCTGCTTGCAGAGCAGATGGACTTGATCAACAAATCTAAACTCCTGCATAAAACATAGTTCTTAACTTTCTGTTGACCTGAGGCAGTTAAAGTGTATGGTGGTGAATACTATATTAAGTACCCTAGAAAACAGAGAGTTTTTGTTTTATAAATTGGCATGGGAAGAGCACCAAGACCATTTCCAAACAATCTGTAGTCATATTTTTAAAGTAAAGTATAATTATCCAGAGAGAAATATACAAGACAGCAATTCCAGCCAGAATAGGAAACTGTAGGGCTCATTTCCTGCAAGATCAATACAACTCCTCCTCCAAAGTTAATCAGATGCTACGTCTTGTCATCTTAACCAACATAGAAGGCTGTTTTTAAAATTCACCTCTGTAAAAAAAACAAAAAACTTCTTAAACAATGTCCTACTGACAGTTGCAAAAGAAATGGCGTGTGTGGCTCTAGCTCACTGTTTTTTTATTAGAAAGACACACTCAGTTAAGGAGTACTTGTAAGCACCAAGGCTTTCTGGCTGATGCTTTGGCCACGACTGCATGTTTGTGGTTTTGGTCGAGACAGACTCTACAACTCACACAAGTGGCTCAATTAGTGCAGCTCATCCAGGAAAGCAAATGAACGCATGATGTTGCAAGAAGGTTTGCCATCTATGTCAGCGTAGTGCCCAGAGGCTGGAGGTACTACCAGGGGACAGGCCATTACATCAGGAGATGTGGATGAGGCCGAAGGACAGCAACAACCCAGCAGCAGGATCGCTACCTCTGCCTTTAAGCGAGGAGGAACATGCGGAGCACTGCCACAGTGCTGCAAAATTACCTCCAGCAGGCCACAACTGTGCATATATATGTACAAATGGTTAGAAACTGACTCCATGAGGATGGAATGAGGGCCCGACATCCAAAGATGGGTGTTGGGCTGTAAGCACAACACCGTGCAGCATGCTTGGCATTTGCCCAAGAAAACCAGGATTGGCAAATACACCACTGTCACCCTCTGCTCTTCACAGATGAAACACCGATAACCTGTCGCAGAGGTAACAGAGTCCCGTGGAGAGTGTTCTGCTGCCTGCAACATCCTTCAGCATGACCACTTTGGCAGTAGGTCAGTAATGTGCGGGGTGGCATTTCTTTGAAGGCCGAACAGCACTCCATGTGCTCACCAGAGGTAGCATGACTGCCATTAGGTACCAAGATGAGATCCTAACACCCCTTGTGAGGCCATGTGCTGGTGTAAAAATCTGGGACATCATGTCTAGATTCATCCACCAATTTCACGTTTCACCACAGACTGATCAGGAGTTGATGGATGTTTCTAGGTCTGGGAGACCATTCACCACCTCATCAGGAGCATGCCCAGGCATTTAGGCATATCATACAGGCACGTGGAGGACTCACGCAATACTGAACCTCATTTTGACCTGTTTTAGGGATGTTACATCAGAGTTGGATCAGCCTGTAGTGTGTTTTTTCACTTTAATTTCGTATGTGACTTCAAATCCAGAACTCCATTGGTTAATAAATTTGATTTCTATTAAATGAGTCATTTTGTTGTCAGCACATTCGACTTTGTACATAACGAAGTTTTAATAAGAATATTTTATTCATTCAGATACAAGATGATTTATTTGTATGTTCCATTTATTTATTTTTTTGAAAAGTTTATATCTGAGGATTTTTTTCTGAATCTAGGTCAAAAACTGTAAAATAGCGAGTAAGTGTAAAGGTCAAGCATAAAACTATCAATTTGACAGCCCTTTAATTAGCTAATGCAACAGAATGATGACCTCAAACAGCAGCAAAGCAACATCAAAAGCATGAAACTGAAATGCTTTGATGGCAGAACTGCTGTACTTGCAGAACTTTTATTTTGTCGTCCACGTTTGTTTCATTCCAATTATACAAATCATGCATTTCTTTATGACAGAACTCAAAAATATTACTCTGCCTCCCCTCCTTACTATTGATCAAGAGATTTTTCATATGGCTTTTAGAATCTACATCAGTATTTTTTTTATTAATCATTCAAGAATCCCAATTGAAAACCCACAAATCTTACTGCCTCTACAATCCATTTAATCAAATAGACTACAAAAAGAATTTCATTATCTGAACTTTACCATCAGGATGCGAAGCCCAGTATGTTGTAAATGTATGGGCAGTTCCAACAGTAAACCCTCACCCTCAAAGTGTAGCGCCTACAGTCAGCAAATAAATAAAATAATAGATCAGATTATATGTTTATGAAAAAAAAATGTATTTTTGTGAAATATCCCAAAGAGACTTTCACTGCTTTCCTCAACAAAGAAGAAAAAATAAAAAACTACATTGAACTCCTGGTGAGAGATGAGTTGATGGTTAAACTGATCAAAAATGTCTGAGTCAGAGAGATGCAAAAAGTAGCCATAGAGAAGGTGGAGATTTAAAGTAAATACACACCAAAGGTTCTGAGAAGTTCAAGCATGAAAATCCTAAAGATAAAATTAATGCAGCAAGATCCTGTTGCACTATGTCGCATGACAATTAAAACTCAAAATATTTCTTGCTTACTAGACTAATTCCTCTCATAGCAGCTACAGCATGACTTTGTGTTGTGAAATAAACACAGGAAGCCATTGAAACCGTCTCCATGGCAGCCTATTGGGAACTTTCTTAAAAAGAATAAATAATGATCAAGAAGAGGACGTCTTGTTAAGTATTTAACATCATTTTTTTTTTTTTTTTTTAGTAATGTCCATTTTTGGAATTCTTATTTCAATGTTTAGAACATAAAATAAAATATTATCCTAATTTTTTTTGGCTTTGGAATCAGCAAGTCTGGCAAAAAAAATGAAAGGTCTATTCATAGTTTTTCTTTTTTATGGAATCTGGACTTTTTGAAAACATCTGTTGCTTTAAATCAAATAGTCATACACTGTGGTTAAAGTTAAACTTCATCCTTCTTTATTGAACCAAAACTGATTTTAAACATTATCCTTTATCTGAAAATATAAAAGGAATGCTTTATGGTTTTTAAAAATATTCATTTTCTTATGGAATTTGAATAAAATATTCCATTTGATCCCATGTTGTGATATTCTGGATGTTACAGGAAGAATTACTGTAGGCCTGGGATAGTTGATGGTATCAAAAATCTGTATTCATGTTTAAACGTTTTTAAAAGAAAATTTTTCAAGACCACAGACATTTTCCATTATCTTGGTACAATGGAATAAAGTACTTTGGATGGATGGATGGATGGATGGATGGATGGATGGATGGATGGATGGATGGATGGATAGATGGATAGATGGATAGATGGATAGATAGATAGATAGATAGATAGATAGATAGATAGATAGATAGATAGATAGATAGATAGATAGATAGATAGAGCGAGCGAGCGAGCGAGCGAGCTATTCAACCCTGGTCTTAAATTAAAAAATATAATATATATGAAGCACTGAAAACAAAAATGCTCTCTGTTCTCATTAATAACAGCTGAGCAACTATTTAATACAATTATGTGAAAATAATTATAGGTATATTAATACATCCATTAATGCTAAAGAGATCAGAAAATGTTAGCTTATAACAGGAATCTATGTGGATTTAGTTTAATACACATATAATCCTTTGGAATCAATAATTCTGTTTGTGGCTGGTCATGATGTCAGGGATAAAAGCAACTGGAACACTGCCTTAAATCCCATGTAGGCATTAGAGCCAAAAAATAAATAAATAATATACACTGCTTAAAATCCTGACCTGGATATCATTTTGAGTATGAATTATGCATCCATGGGTCTGTTTATCTGCATGACAAAAGGGCAGATCAAAAGTGTTTCCGACATTGATGGAGAACAGTAATAAACCTATTTTTTTCCACTTTGTGCTACTTCTTATTACATTTAAGAAAAGACACTGATGTCCTTGTGAACAAGGTTAGATTCAAGAGCCTAATGTCCCTACCTTTGGAGGAGAGAGAAGTCTTGGAGAGATTGAGGAGGCGTAAGCCTTTGTTGAGCCGGCAGACTTGTTGAATTAGGTTGGAGACTCCTGGATGAACACAAGGAGGTGAGGAAAAAGAGCAAATATGAGAAACGGTGCTCATTTAATAAAAAAGATGACTGATATTAAACACAGAGAAGGCAGACTTATTAACTTTGAATATTTGCCTTTGTCTTTAAATCTTAATGAAAACAGAGCATTTTTGTATTCCAAAGGAAGGAATGCTATGTAGTGGATCTGAAAAACCCTAGTATGTCATATATGTATCAGATGTGATTTGAATTGATTCTGTGACACCAGAAACACAGAGTGCTGTGAAAGCTACCATGTCGGTTTTTTTAATACAGACAACCAGAATAAATAAATAAGAAGTACATTTTCAACTGTGATTGTTACCTAAATAACATTAAATCAATCAGTATCTTCTTTTCTCAGCTAGGTTCAACATTCAAGTTTTACATATAAAACAGAAACTGGGCAAAACAATGTCTATAGTTCAAAGGTCAAACCACAGCTGACCAAAAGGAACATAAAATCACATCTAACATCTGTCAGAAAAAAAAAATTTATAAATAAGAAAAAAATATATATATATTACTCATAAGATTTATAACAAATAATAAGCGCATCAAAGACAACTGTTTTTGGAAGATGTGTGTCATGGTACAATTGTCCTAAAACTAAAACAGTATCTCAGTACCAGATCATCATAGTGACTTTCCAGCATGATTGTGGTAGTATAAGTGTTTGGAGCTTCTTTCTTCCTTAAGATCTTGGCAACTTGCAATGGTTGCTGGAATTTTGATTTTTGCTTTTGACTAAAATATCCAATAAGAAAAATGCAGAGCTATAGTTATAGGGCCTGAAGCCCAAACACAGTCTGGTTATGCAGAAGGAAAATTACCCAAAACAAGTTCTCTTTTATCAGCTCAAAAATAAGAAGAAAAAGAAAAAAGAAAAAGAAGAATAACAATGTTATAGAGTGGCCTAACCAAAGTCTGCACTTAGATACTGTGTTTTTATACATGTAAGAATGAACAAAGTCATGATTTAAAAACTTTGGATATATAACAATATTAACTTAATTACTTATTGAAATAGTTTCTATGACCTGATAGATTTCAGTATGATAAAAAAAATCAAAACAGGGTAAATCTGTAAGTGGGTAAATACCTTTTCATACCTTTTAAATGTTAATGATCAGAGGAATACAAATTATTTTCTTATCTATTTTTGCCCACATGCAGGATGAGTGGTGAGCCTACATGCAGATAATGTGCTTAGGTAAGTTACATGTATCTAATTAAAAATGTTGTTGCAATCATGAGGGTACAAAATGCTTTGTGATTATTAAAAAGAAATATTTTTAAATATGGATGTTTTATCACCGTGTGATAATCAGTTTTCAGATCATTAATCTTATTTAGTGGCTGCTTTTGTGTTGTGTTTATACTCACAATAAAAAAAGCCTGAACACTGTCAATACTCATAAACACATGCCGACACACCAGGGGGTGATAAGTGTGAGCACAAGGAATCCACTGAGGCGAACAGAAGTGACGAGTATCAGATGGAGGAAGAGGGAAGGGGGTGGGGCATAAATTAGCTAATGAGGGATGGCGTTGTGCATGCGACGGAGTGCCTCTGGCTTAAACAAAGCCTAAAACCATTTTCTCATAGCGGTAAGCAATGGAAGGATATTAGATTGTAAGGGATTAGAATGTGCTGAGGCTCTGCCAAGGCAGACAGATCAGAGGGTCATCCAAGGCAATGGCTCTGAAGATTTACCCAACAAAATAACATTAGAGGCAAATAGTGAACTGGGCTCCTAGTTGAGCATATAAAGGGTCTGACTGAGTCAAATAAGAATGAATACAATTAGCCTGATAAACCTGACTAAATGAGATGAAAGGTGTTATTTAGTCTGGCCCCGATGAATGAGACATCGGAAGATTGTTGATGAGAACAACCAGTTGTTTTTCAAAGCATGTCTGTACCTATATGCCAACGCTCTGACCAATAAGTGCAACTGACTGTGACGTAGTAAGCGTGACAAAAAGCTGGTGGGGGAGTATAAACAAACAGTCTGTCGGTAAAACGGCTCTCTCAAAAATGAATGAGCATAGAGCCTCTTCCTGCTCACGTTTCAACGAAAACCCCAAATCTAATCCTTCCAAAACTGATTCCAAAGCTGAATCAAAAACTGCCATCAGAGCATGCAGTCCTGTACACACGGCTATGCTGAGTGAGAGGGCCGCTGCAGACGGGCTGCGGTTAGCCCTGGATGTCGATAGCCTCGGAGCTCCGCTGGTTGCCGCTGTACTCTCAACTTCGGAATTTATTTATTTTTTTTTATGCATTAAATCATTAAATGGACCATATAGTGACGCTTTAAATTATAATATTCTTGCCTCAAATTATCTTAAACTGTGCAGCTTTGTCATCACGCCCTCAAAACCCCGCCCGCTTTTCATGCAGACATTCAAAATACATCTCTGCGTTGTGATTGGCCTGTCAGATTTAGGGGCTGGGGCATTGATCGAGGTTAGACCAACTCGCAGGCAAAAATGATTTTGGCTGCGGGAAGGTGGGGCTAGTTTACTAGACTAGAATACAATGGCAGCAACCTCAAAATCCACATCAGGGCCCCTTTTCAGAAAGTTGGCTTAACTAGGTCTAAAGTAAAATGTAAAGTTAAGAGCAGATGCCCTGAGTAAGTTGGTAAGTGAGTTGGTTTCAAAACAGGTGATATCAGAAGAGTAACATACACTAAATGAGTTAGGTCAGCCCAGATGTAATCAAAAATGTGAGTGTGTAAGAAGGCCTCATCAATTGACTGCAGAAAACAAAATCCACTATGGCAACAAGAGGAAATAAAAAGCTTGAAAGTGTGCATGACTTGTCAGTGGAAGTTAAAATGTTAATGACAGCATATGAGAAATTATCAAAACAAACACAAAAAGATTGATGCTGTTGCAAAAAAAGAATATTTACTACGGAGCCAAGTCTTTATGTGAGTGTGATTTGACAGAGAATTAAAGTTATATCTTCAACATAATGCTTATTTAACACAGAAAAACATGTGCATGTGAGCGGAAGCATTTTGTTACCATGTAGGGACAGTGCAAGGCCATTTTCCCAGTAATATGGCACACTGTGAAGATTTACAGGTCCTTACCTCCCTCTCTTTCTCTTCTGGGTTGGGGGTAATCTCTATCTCTAGCATTGAGTTATCACTAGAGGTAGGGATAGTTATGTATTTGTTATAAATAAGGCTGCAAATGGGGATCTGGGTTGGGTCAGAAAGAAAAATGGAAATCAATGTCCTTGCAATCATAGCTAAATAAAACAATGCTTAAAATATGTGTCTAGGTATACTGTAACCCAGCAGATGAAAAAAAAAAACCTAGCAGGTAATCAAGACAAAATGGAAAAACAGTTAAATCAGACAACATACACTTCTAAGGTTTTACTATGTTTACCCTTTACCTGCTGAATTACACAGCATTTCTGACTAAATGCAAAAATGCAATTAATAATATTTAAGAAGTTAAACCTTTGCTCAGGACTTAACATGAAAAAACAGACAAACAGGTGAAATTAAAATATTTTTCTGATCAGTTTTAATTATCGCTTTAATAAGGATTGAAACCCCTTCATCTGCACATTAGTTTGGGGCACTGTCCTCTCAGCTAAAGGAGGGAGCTGACATTGTAGATTATTTGTCATCAGCTCATAGATTGCAATGGACCAGATGGACATCTGTACTGTTACTGTACAGCACAGTTTATATCCAAGATAATAATAATAAAAAAAAAAAATGCAGCACAAATACTTTTTTTGTCATATGACTGATCTGAATGCATCTTATTTAATTGAAATTCTGATTCTGGCTGAAGAAAGGAGTTGGTTTATGGAGTCACTTGTAGCAACTTGACTCAGGAAACAAACTGAAAAAAGACAGGATAGGCAGATACAGACCCAAGTATGTATCTTAGTTCTCACTAATTCCGCTTTCTGAAACAGAGCCCTGACATATTCCTTTTATATTTATTACGTTGCAGATTTTACCCTTCTTACCACCATTAGCAGCATACATGTACTGTAAATAAGGGGAAAAAAACGACTTTTCTAATAATCAGATCTTAAATCTGGCTAAACGTTTCCATTATGATGCAAGTTTCGATGACCAAACTACTTTTTTTATTACTTTGATTTGAAAAGCAAAAAAGATTAGATGACCATTAACTTCACACAGTTTAAAGCATAGAACTATTGAAGTGCTGCTTTTTTCCTGCTAATGCATCTCTGTTACATCAGCCCCTCTTTCCCTTCTACTTATCATTTGTTAGGAGGACAACACTTTGCATTTGCAGTTGGTGCTGTAGGGTTCAGGTTTGATCAGAAAAAAATGGATTTGTTACCCACTTCCAGGTTAAAACCTTTATCAGCAGAGAAAACACAGTGGTGCTTTTTTAAAATGTTAAAAGAAAAACAAGCCAATTAAAGACATGTTTTGGTGAAAACGGATTAAAATAAAAGTAAATATAAATAAAAAACAACCTTTCATGTATCAACCTTTTGTGTGATCTTGCAATGTAATTTACCACACAGGGGACCTTTATCATTAAATTCAGGCTATTTTTTACATTAATATTGTTGACAAAACTGCAAAAATATTTTATTAGTTAATTTAAGTATTATTTGTTTTGTTTAGTTATAACTTAGCTTCAAAATTGAAGGAAGCGAGCAGGTGCTTTCACATCATGCAACTGTTAAAAACAAAACAACTAAGAAAAATTATTCTATAAGATACTGACTTAAAAATGTGTCTTGTGACAGTGTAATAATTTGAACTTTTGTTTTATTAGAAATTACTGTATATTTTTTACTGGAAATAGAAGTAATATTTTTGTAAGCAGGTGTCACCCTTTTGAATGTATCACTTCAGTATGCAGCAAAAAAGTAGTTAGAGAAAAAGATATTTGTACACATAGAGAAAAACAAGTTCAAGCTGTGATGACAAAAGAAAAAGAAAATGCCTTTCTATCATAAGAACAACTTATAATTAAATACCATAGAAGACAGATAAAAGAACCACTGAGAGTGAAGGAGTTACAAGGACAGGGATCGATTCAGAGTTCTTTGAAAGCAAACAAAGGCTTTGCTCAAGTAATAGCTAAAAAACAATAGGATGCGCCCACAGAGAGGAGTCAGTGGGAGGGAATATGAGTTCACCGAGTCGCTACCTTGGTTGTCAAGTGTGTTATGAGCCAGATTGAGGGAGTGAATCACGGAGGCTGGGTTCTCTGATAAAGCCGACGCCATCTTCTGTGGAAAATCCCTGGAGAGGGCAGGAGAAACAGGAAATTGGATTCACTGGGAAAAACTGTAGGTTACATATTGCTGTCAGTGACTGAATTAATCTGTCAAGACTTCTCAGATCCCCCTTTCTTATGTTCAAGGTCAAAGGAATTTTAAAAAAGCCATTATAAAACTGAAGTCGATTTAAATCTATTTTTATTTTCTAAAATTTGGAGGAACAGTAAAAGACGGACTTTAGCTTCTTGCCAAACATGCAAAAAGGAGACACTTTGTTTTTATATTAAACACTTTTGGTGAATCAAATTTCTTAAAAAAAAGTTTCCTCATACAGTACATTGACCCAACTGCAGAGAGTTCATTGCAGCATAGTTACAGTTTTAATCATTAAGTAAACACAAACTAGAAAGTAGATGTAAACTTTCATAATGTAAAAGCACAGCAACTAAGAGATCAAACATTTCTCACAGAGATTAAAGGAGGGACGTCATGGAAGGTTATATTTGTCTGCTTGCCAAAGACTTAACTCTGAATGAATACTAATGCCCATCCATGGCTGCTGTTTGCCAACACTTTTGTATAGACTGTTCATCCCCGAGTGCCATAACAAATCAATTACAAATAAGCATTTCAAAATCGCGCGTCTGCAAAGACTTAAAATAAATGAAATAAACGTCTTTTAACAATATTGTGTCCTCAATTCAAGTGTCTGTGATTAATACGTTTTTTGTTCATTCTTTAAATTTGAAAATCACATGCACTTCATTATTAACCATTTATTCTCTTTTTCTATACCTGCAGTCCGACCTACAGGTTTCAGTGTTATGTTCTCTTAAAATCTCCTTATATCAGATTCTGGACATCTCTCTTCACAGAGAAGGTGAAGCCAAGAAATGTGACAACAGCCTTTTTCTAAAAAGGTCAAGAAGACTGCAGAATTTGAAAAGAAAGGAATCAATTCTTGGTCTTGCACCACATGTGAAAGCTGGACCTATTTTCAAACAAGGCTGTGCTCAGCTAGAAAACAAATCTGAAAAGCAGAGAAAAAGGTTAATCAATTTTCTAAGTAAAGCAACTTCATTTAGATATTATCTACATACTATATTTATAAAGCGCTTTTCAGTAGAAAGAAAGTTTAAAGCTCTAAACATAAAAGGAAACATCAGCAAACAAAAAGAAAAGTACATTGCAGTAATATAAAGGCAATTAAGTAATTAATAAGCATGAATAATTAAAGTCATAAAATAATTATTAAAAAAACAAAAATAAATTATTTAACAATAGCATGAAAGGAAGTTGGAGTACAAACCTGAACTAGTAATGCTCGGCCAGCACAGTAAAATGTCGTTTTAAAGAAATTGGTTTTAAAACTTGATTTAAAGCACTTAGGGATTCAGCACTTTCCCTGCTATCTGGGAATTTGTTCTAGATTGGTGCAGCTCAAGAACTTATCATTGTGGAGTGATTAACTCTACTAAAGATGAACACATGAATTAAGTTTTTCAACATCCTGTTGAGGCTCATTTAATCCTGTAAATGTTCTTTAAATGTAGAAAGCTGATTTTATTCCTATCTTTATGAGCCTTTGGAGGTTTCAGGTCTGAGTCCATCACTGCACCCAGATTTAAAGCCTGATTGGTGGTTTCTAGCTGTAATAACTGAAGCTGTGTGGTAACTTCTACATGCTTTTACTTTGGTCTATAATTTATTGCTTCAGTTTTTTTTTATTCAGCTGAAGAAAATCCTGGCACATCCATGATGGATTCCTTCTATGCATTTATCTAGCACTTGAAGAGGGTTTATATTCACCTGTTGACATTTTAATCTATAGCTTTTGTTGTCTGCATATTTATGGTATATGGAGGACCAGCTCTACCATATTTAAAAATAAATACAGAAATAAATAAAGGCTCAATTAATAAATAAGCATACAATTAATTGCCCCAGAAATAAAATAAACAAATAAATGTAGGTAAAAATTAAATCCTACAGTGAGACATAAATGTATATATAGCTCTTTTAATTAGCTTCTTTATTGATTCACCTTTGTAATAATTAGCTTATTTATTTATTGTCTGTTATAATCTTCAACTTTATTCATTACTCACTTATTATTTTAAGTATTTATTTGTGTGCATGTAATAATATTTTAGTCTGTTTTATTCTTCCCTTGTATTTTTTACGCAATTTATTTCTTCAATACAATTTATTTCCGCCTGCTGTTTTTACATTTCTTATGCATATCTGTCTCATTATCCAAATGAGGAAAAGCTGTGTCTTAGAGAGTCAACTTCTGCCCATTGGTTGGTTAGCATTTTACTGCATCGGTCGAATCTACAGGAAGAGAGGAGAGTCTGAAGTCACTGGCCATTTCTCAATTCATAAGAACGTGAGTACGGACTCGTGCCCTCGCCAAGTATGTTCTTGAGAAGAACACAGGAAAGCGTGGACTCTGGGAGAATGGGAACACGAAGCATAAATATGGGTCAATTGGAAAAGAAGCGTGCTCGTGTCGTCACCAAATGCTCGGCTAGTCTGGAGCAGCATTTCACCTCCTGTTATTAACAGCCTATAGATAATAATAAATTCTGACTTTTTTCATTTAGTGGGGGAATAATAATTAACACAGTCAGATAAACACAAATCAAATAAATTTTTTGCCAAATGTAACAAAAAAATAGTTATCATAGCCAGCTGCCCTTCACACTAGGCTATGCGGAGAGAGGGCCGCTGCGGACGGGCTGCAGTTAGCCCTGGCTGCCGTTACCCTTGGAGGTCTGCTGATGGCCGCAGTCCTCTCAACTTCGAAAATAATTTTTTTAATTACGCATTAAATCGGTAGATGGGCCATATAGTAACGTTTAAAAGTACAAAGTTGTTGTCTCAAATGATCTCAAACAAACTTTAATTGAACAACAGCAATAGAAAAGAGATTGCAGACAACTACATTGTCGACATCAGTGTCCATGTGTGCCGCTAACTGAAACATGTTCTGTCAGAGCGTCCAAATGAAAAATAATAAAGTCGGAACTTATAACGTTAGGATTGTTTTCAAAAACAGTTGCTAAATGCCTCAGCTCACTGACAACTTCAATGTAGGTAGCCATCTTTGTTGTGACTGTGGCCGGTTATGTAGATTCGACCGATGCAGTAAAATGCTAACCGGCCAATGGGCAGAATTTGACCCTCTAAGACATAGCCCTTCCTCATTTGCATATAAGGCAGAAATGCATACAGAAATGTTAAAACGACAGGCAGAAATAAATAGCATTGAAGAAACAAATAGGGTAAAAAAATACAAAGGAAGAATAATACAAAGGTTTGGACAATGGTATCACAACCTAGATGTGTTATTCATAATACACATGGTAACACTGCCATTTGCTTTTCAAATGTGGCAGCAAGGTAGCAATGATTTTTCACACTACACTACAGAGACAATCTGGATGCCCTAATGAAAATTCATGCAGTGAAGCAGGATGTGTCTTAGAAAACCTCTAAACACTAAATTAACCCAGTACACTGAGTAGCACGGTGGCCTGGGGATCATGGTATGTGGATATTGCTGATGGCATTGCGAACAATGAGTTGGCACCTGTTCACGGGCACAGGAAGTTAGTCGAGTCCATTTAAAACAGATATGAAAGTTTCCAGAAACAGTGGTTGTATGATGAAATATTAATTCAGAACCAAATTCTCAAGCTATTCTTTATTTATAAAGTAAATGTTCAAATTTTAAGGAAAAAAGCTCACTATTTGTTTGTGCCGTCTAATGTCCCCCATACCTAATGTATTCATATCAAAGAAATAAAATCCAGCAAAATGTTGGTCTTTGCAGGGCTTTTTAATGTATTGGTTTAAGTTAAGCAGATCTGCATGTTTACAAATTGCTAAAGTTGCATGACCAAGGTAGTATTGGACTTATTTAGTTAAGGCAAAAGGTTGACCTTTCTAAGGTATAAAATGCAGAAACTCAAATGCTTTCAGCACTATTTGTGTTGGATTTTTTTACTCAAACCCTTTTTTACTTATTGTTAATCTCATCTCAGGATGCCAGTGGATTCCCTTATAAGTGACGGAATATTTTACTGTTCCACTAAAAAAATTGGATAGAGCACATTTTTATTCTTAGAGGGCAGGGCTTTTTTAGGTTCACTGCTATTCCAGACCCTACTGCTTTTTCTACTTGAACACCTTAACTACCAGGGAAATTTAAAACCTGCACGTTTATGGGACTATAAATTACATTTTTTTCCCTAAGGCAGCAAAGCCTGATCAATTAACACTAAATTATAGAATTACTGTTTTTGTTAACATCACTAATTCCCCACAAGAAGACAGTCAAGTATTGTAAAAAAAAATGTCAGTATGTCTCAGTAGATAAATACTACATTAGCCATGTAAAAGATGGGCGTGAGGCATTATTGAAGCTTTACTTTAGTACTGCATGAAAGACTGGGGCTGAAGAGAGCTGAGAAACAGAGATGAAGGAGAAGAGACAAGACTGGAAAGGTCAGGCCAACTAAGACAGCGTAAGAGAGTGGGAGAGTGAGGTGAGACACGAGAGGAACTGAACAGATAAAAGAAAGAAAAGAAGGGATGAAGGAGATTGGAAAGAAAATTTAATAAACAAAATTAAATTAAACTAAAACAGGTGAAAGAGTAGGCTGGCATTTTTTTAAGGAATGTGAAAACCTACGCTTTAAGTCCAGCGTTCTCCAGTGTCAGCTCCTCCAGACTATTGGATTTGCTGACTGTGTGCAGAATCTGGTCCACCACCTCTGACCCCTGATGAAAAATGCAAAAAAATAATCCAAGGCTGAGACTCTCTAGTGAGAGAACAGAAAAAAACTAAACAGACCAAATGTTCATAAAAAAGTAGTAAAGATCATGATTTTGTCTTTAGTGAATTATTGCCTATATAAAATATTTCAGAACTCAAACATTTTTTTAAATCATCAGCTTTAATGAAACACACACTAAATATGACGAATTAGATAACCAGTTAGTGACAAAAAAAGAGATCAATTAATTCCATTAGACAATCAAAATAATATTAAACAATCACAGCTATGTCTGGAAACTATTTGAGGAGGTTTTTCTACTGAAAACTAAGTTTCAGATGGGAAAATAGAGAGAAGAAACTGACTCCAAATCGAAGCTGCTTTCATCCTGTTAGTTCATATTTTATGGTGACCAGTTGAATTTAAAGTTATTCTCAGAGAGAAATAAAAAGCTATAAGCCTCGTTAATAATTGATAAAGAAGTAATATGTAGGCTGGAAGTCAGCATGCTATCCTCTCCAAAATGTGCTCTATGATTTAGGTTTTCTTTGCTTACATAGTCCTGACAATCAAATGTTACCATGGATGCTTTCTCTAGTATAATACTAGAGAAGAGGTCCTAATTCCCAATCACTATAAACAAGCGAACCTTACAAAAGAATCCACAAAAAATGCAAAATGTAGAATTTAAGTGTCCCAGTAAAAATAGCTCAATGCCAAGCTCAAACTTTGATGTGTAAATTACTGTTATGTAACAAAATGGAAGCTCCAACTATCAGCATTAGGTGCGATAAAAGTCTAAAATAAAATCTTTATTAGCTCCTAATTTTGGAACGTGCATTAATTAGGAAAGGAAATTCAATGACACATAATTTATGTGGAAACATTAAGATATGAATCACCCAATGAGGCAGAGGCAGTCTGATGCTGCATTATCTATTGCATTAATTTGTTTGCATGCAGCCACGAGAATGACTCTCCTGAATTGAGAGGTTTTGCTTCATGTCATTGATTTCTTGTTTTATCAGAATGAAACCTAGTGGACATATTTAAATGTACGGCATAATTGTACTAATCCAGGTATGAGGAAACCAATACAAACAGATACAAATATATTAGTGTTCTTAAAGTATTGCATCAGTTCTCTTTACCTATCTATGAGCTTGAGCAACATCCCATTCTTTATCCATGTGGTTTAATAAAATCACTACCCACTCTTTAGAACTATACCTGCTTCACATCTCATAGAAAGCCTTTGCACAGAGTGAAGGAGGATGCTTATGGGAAAGTTTGACTTTTCGTTAAGAGGCGCATCAATGATGTCAGAAAATAAAGCTGGATGAAAAGGCCTTGCTGTTATTCTCAGCTCAAATTCTGTCAATATGGATTCTGCTAGGTTGAGGTCAAGACTCTTAGCATACCAGTACAGCCCTTCCACACCAATTCACTCATCGATATGGATATCCAAACTATTCTCATAAATTGAAGAGCATTAAAGGGCCAGACAATACAAAGGTAAAGCTGCTTAGCCATGATGACCAGAAAAATATGTGGGAAAACTCAGAATAAGACTTTCAATTAGCATGGGGTTGCACTTTTATAGAAAAACTGTAGAATTTACCCTAAATATTTAGGGTGACAATTTGCACTGAATTCAGATTAACATATTTACTCACATTTTATTATTTAAGAGTATCTACTAACAATAGTTATTAAACACCAAGAAAGACAAGGTAAAGTCCATTAAACGCGATAACTTTACAGATTTTTAGGACAGAGTGGCAACAGGTGGAATTTGAAAGCAGATCTGAGTTAGAAGGCATGAATCACAAACTACATCACAAAAAAGGTTGAATGGTAAATGGTAAATGGCATGTACTTATATAGCGCCTTTATTCAAGTTAGGAGACTTGACCAAAGAGCTTTACACCACATTCATTCACCCATTCACACACACACTCACACACTGAATGGCAACATTTTGAACAGTTACTCAGACTGTGTATGCAATAGGACTTCACAATTAATCTGAATCAAAATTATAACTATACTAACATGACATACGGTTATATTTATGAAATTAGCTTTTGAACTTTTTACTTGTTACAAGGTTCTTGTGTTCTGAATTTTCTATCGAACAGTTAGTTTCTGGCATATGGTTGAATTGCGATTCCCAAAACCTTACATTTGTACATTCTTCTAGACATTTTTATGTTGCATTTGCAAATTGACAAACCTATTATAATTTAGGTATTTTACAACTTATGATGTAAAGATAAATTTTTAAGTATTTGCATGGATTGTGTTTACTATCTATTAAAATCATTTCTTGAGTGTGGCAACACCCTGGTAAGGGTCTGTTTTGCTGCAAGTGTAACTTTGAATTAGACAAAGTAAATGTAATGAAATTCGTCAGCATAGATTCACGGCACCATCCTTGATTGTTCTGCACATATCAAACAATTTTTTCAAAGAATAAAAAAGCTTTTTTAAACTTTTGAAACTTCCGACTATTACCTTAGCACTGTTGAAAAGCAATGAGCTATCTTTACTGGTCAGGTTTGTGAAAGGAAACCAACCAGTATGCTAAGAGAAGTCGCTGTATAATTAGCTAACATATATCCAGGAGTGATTGATCTGCAACTTGAAAAAAAGGTCCTTAACCAAATATCAGTTAAAAGTAAATATTTTGGCCTCAATTTTGAGATCATATAATTTATAAAAGGCCAAAACATAATCAGTTGATAAAATTATCAACCCTACCTATACAGAAGAGGATTAGGGCAACTGAAAAACAAAAAAAGTTAACTGATTTTTTTATTTTATTTCAGTTTAACATGGGAAAAAAGTCAGAACTCTGACTTTAATCTCAGAATTCTGACTTTTTTTCAGAATTCTGACTTTTTTATTGTCAGAATTCAGTCAAAATTCTGAGATTAAAGTCAGAATTCTGAAAAAAAGTCAGAATTCTGAGAAAAAAGTCAGAATTCTCACTTTTTTCCCCATACTATGCTAAATTAAAATAAAAAAAATCTGTTAACTTTTTTTTTTTTTCAGTGGCCCTAATCCTCTTCCGTACTACCTATGATAAGTATATGCTGTATAAAATTTAGATCAGACCTGTAAGATGAGGATTAAAGCATGTGGTAAGAAGGTTTGTGATGGATAAAGATGTGAAAAGAATTACTATGCGCATGTCTTTGCAGTACAGCTTGGTGAACCAGGTGTTGTAGGCAATGGAGGCAACAATCACTGCCAAGTCCCTAGAAGAAACAGACACACAAAAACACAAAAATTAGATATTAAATTATATAAATATATAAATTAGCAAACACCATCTGCTCAAAAGCATTTCATGTCGTCCATCTAATTCACATCTGTTTGGCCAAAATTTGACTTTGCTCTCTGTTAAAAAAAAACAAAAAAAAAAAACAGTTTGTCATTGTGACAGGGAGAACACCCCGGGTGGGGTGGCTTTTCTAAAGATGGCTGATATTGCAGCTCCACTGTGAAATGGGCAAAAACAAGGACATGTGAGGATGGATGAGTGGGTCAGTGGATTATTTAATAAAGCCACACTTTGAATCCAGCTACAGACCCCAAATACTGCTTCATATCCACAGTTGTGGACACTGACTGAACACATAGAGATTTCAGTGTTTGAGTGGGAGAAAAGGAACAGAGAGGGAGAATCTTCAAATTCTCCAAGGCCCAACTAGAGCCGTACTGCCTCTGCACCTGCTGTACATCATCTGACAAACAAGAGGCAACATATAGAGGAGGCACAAAAATAAACCCGATGCTTTGAAATAACTGAGATAAGTGATATAAAAGTGTTAAAAGAAACCAAGTCATAAAATGACCAGTCACCACAAACAATTAAACATTCCTGCTGCTCTTGAACATATAAAACAGCTAGAGGCTGTTTTCATATTTCACAACCAAACCAAACCATTGTGACTAACAGCTGAGTTCATGTTTACCCAAACACGTCAAGATCCATCATCAATAGTGAATCGTACTGACAGCAGATGTCACTAGGTTAGTAACTGACCTCTGTCCTACTCAGCCACAGGGTGCGACAGCTATGTCAACCTCTACTGTACATGCTGAAAGCACATACTCACTAATTGTTTCCTAAAAATTAATAAAATCTTGCAAAACCATCTCAGAGAGAAAAATCCTGGTTTTGCAACGACCCTGGATGATCCCATCTAGAGTGGACAGAGATTCATAAGTGCATTAGGCAGTGGATAGCCTATAAAAGCACAGAAAAAAGGCAGTGGTTGGAAATGATGGATGAAATGCTCCCAAGCAACAAATAAAAGCATCTTCTGCAGCCTACAGAGTGGCTTTAGCTGTTATAATAACTTAGGACAGCAATGCTCAGCAGTTAGAGTTGAAGATACAGCTTAGGAATATATTTGCCTAAGCATGTTAAATTACAAAGTCATATAAAAACACTGACAATTCAACCAAAAACCTATTGGGTTTACAAAGGACAGAATAAAAACAAAGAGTAGGAAAGTCATATAGACTAGTTAACAATAAAAGAAAAAGATTCAGCAAATTAAGCATTTCAAAGTTTATCCCAAAGCCTCCAGTGTTTGATCTTTGCGAAAATAAAACAGGAAGAGAGTTTGTTTGGTTCTGTCAAATGTGTTTGTTGATTCTTTTCTAATTCACTGTTTATGGTAATTTCATACCCTTAGTAATTCAAGTTACATCTACAGGACATAAACTTTCAAGTTAACATATTTATCTTGTTGTGTGGATGTAATGTTACATTAAGCAAATGGTAGAACTGTCATATAGTATTAGAAATGGGCAGCCTGCAAAGCTTGTAATACACACCCTTATACTCCCAAAAAAGTAAAAAGATGTCCTTATATTTTTAAATGGACTGCATGCAAACCTTATATAATAACTAAACAGCTATTAATGACAAAATCTTATACAATATTTGCACATGGGGAGTTGCATATATATATATATATAGTTATTATTTCAATTTACAGAGGTCCATTTGCATCTGCTAATTAGTCCCTAATTTTGCCATCATTTTAATACTTTAGTTTGCTTTCAGCCTAAGTTGATGAATACTGGCTCCTACCTGACTGTTTTTAAGCCTCCAAAGCCATGACTTTTTTTCATACTTGTTTTTATTCAATTTTCTATTTGAATATTTTTAACTCACAGCACTGCCTCCTGGTGTCTGCACTCACAGGGGCTCTTAATAAGATGCAGACATACTTTTTAAATCTGACTTTTCCTATTTCTTTCCATCTTAGATATAGCAACACACAAGGCAAGATAAAAAATACTGCATCATCAGCTTAACATTACTATGACCAGCGCTGAGGTGGCTTTGGAGATGAGATGCTTTAAACCGTTGTCATTAAGCCTACATTTATTTAAAACAAAAACTTGAGTTCCTTGTGCTCTTTCTGTATTTTATAAAAAAAAATAAAATATTGAGGTAAATATCACAGTTCTGTATCTACTGAGCTACATTTTTAGTGAAAGGCAACAGGTTATACTAAAAACAGCTGATCTAATAACACATGGATATGCTTATAGCTTAGTAAAATCAACATAGAATTAACATCCCTTAGTCCCTGTACACAAATGATACAAGAATGCTGATGTGCCAAGAGGTGATAAAAAGAATAATTCAATCAAAAAGGCACAACCATTTCCACAAACAAAAAGCACATATGAATGCAAACAAACATGAATTAGACCCCAAAATTCCCTGTTACAATCACTGTCTATTTGTTATTACCTGCTAAAGGACGGTGAGAAGCGGGAACTGTGACTGACTCAATGGAGAAAAATAGGTCAAAATTAAACTGAGGAGATGGATAACAAGAGGAGATGGGGCGGGCAAAATAGTTGTCCCCTTTCAGTCAACAGCAGTGACTAAAGACAATGTTTGGATGGACGTCAGCCGGCAGAAAAAAAACATCTCCTTGTCACTCATGGCAACAGAATATGAGCTCTGACAGGAGGGCGAAAGATGGAATGAAAATGTGCAAAGACAAGAAAGGTTAGAGGAGAGTAATGCACCACAAAATACTCTGGGATGGATATAGGTTTCTCTGAAATATCTTCTTATTTTAACTGGACGATTGATTATCTCCTAAGAGTTTGCTTTTTGCGATTTAGGGAAGCAGGGATTAGCTTAAGGATAAATTCACAGAAAATATTTTTTTTTTTTCATACAAAAAATTCAAGATGGGTTTAATGAAAGTTTGTTCTTCATCAGTGTCATAGATAATCAGGAGAGAAGATGGAATGGGAGTTTGGATTTGAGCCGCTGATGGATCTCTAATTGTGCGTTCACACCGAAAGTGATTCCATTGATTTTGTTGCCATATTCAGGTCCTGCACTCACTTGATGTATCGCTAGAAATTTAAATGGCGGGCTATAAGCTCCACTCCTGTTGCTTGACCGCACCATGGACTTGTGGTGGGCCTGGATTTACAAAATCACAGCAGAGATCAGTGCAGTACACCTGGCAAAGAGTATGCCAGTGTGGGCGGAGGCAGTGGGTGACTGGGAACAGCTCTGGAGCTAAGGATGAGGATAAAATAAGGCTAAATTAAAATGGCTCTTTTAAAAGCTACCAACAATCCTCCAAACAGCTTTTGTTTTACTTCATTCTATGTCAAAAGTAAATTTTCTCTCTCCCATTTGTCTGACAGCTTTGTCTCTGTTACTTTCCCTTACCCTATGTCACAGGCACAACCTGTCTCTGACTGTCATAAGGTGGCTTGACTGAAAAAAAATCAGATTTTTTTTAACTCCTGCAAGTGTCACTGCTCATCCCAAGACTTACAAATTGAAGTTATGCTCTATTTTTTCAGCAGGGGTTTAGCTAATTTCCAAAGAAGAGTGGCCATTTTCTCCTCCTCTAGAAGTTCAAAGCTGAAAAACACATTCTCCAGACCTAGTGCTCAATGCTGTCTTTAAAGTAATGATTCATCAGAGCTGAATCTAGAGATGCATGCCACATATAGGTGTAGGAACCAGCGGGGGGACATGGCCCCCCCAATGTTGGTGACAGGTGTATTTCTCCGGCCCCCAAAAATATACCCAGGTGAGAAAAAAATTTGATTCTGACATTTTTACTTCACATGATTTATTCTGAAAACGCATTACAGCTTAATGTCACTGGCCCCTCCCACAGCTCTAAGCGTTTAGGAAGCAGGACAGGAACAAGGCTGCTCTTCCTGCCCTGCTTCTGATTTAGAGACATTTAAATTAGGGAAACAGTCTGTATGGTTTTAATAAAAGCGGCTTATTAGTAATGTCTTGTTAGTTTACATTTAATTCATGTAGTAATTAGAAAACCATATTATTTAGGCTCACCCCTACATTAGTGAGGTTCTATCTTCACCAATGTTCCCAAGCAAAGTCAGTCATCCACATTTTTTTTTGCATCGCATTTTGATAAAATACTGCCACCAAAGAAAAGACTATATATAATGTGTAATAATCTCTCATCAATGGTAATACATTGCTAGTGAGGCAACTGAAACTGTAAAAGATGGAGAGACTGAGGAAGCTGCAGTGAGGCCTTAAATCATTACTGATCAGAGATATCATTAGTTTTAGCTTTAGAGTGTGAGGCAAGGTTCAAAAATAGTTCATAGAATAAATCCAGAAATTGAAACTTTCTGGAACAGAGGACTGATCTCAGGTTGCTTTTTTAGGATATGTTTTTTTTTTTTTTGTCATTATGCAGCACTATAAAAAAAATTCCTGATATATTTGTAAAATGGGCCATTTTACTGTAATTCTCAGGAACTGCACCTTATAAATCCACGCTGGAGTTATTTTGTATGTATGAGAGCAGAAATGCAGCACAAACACAGAAAAGGGAGAGGATGGTACAGGGCTGGAGGTGAGGTCTTAAAATAAATCACTGAACACTTTCAATGTCAGAGTTAGGTTATGCTGTTAGCAGATATGACGGTGTATGACCCTAAAAACATTTACAGATAAATAGTAAAGAATCTTAATATATAGGAAAAGTATCAACAGATGTACTTTTTTAAAATATTTTGATAATTAAATAATTTACCCATAATGTACAGTTTTAATATCATGCAGGGACATTAAGGGTTTGAGACAGGGAGTCAAAGTGATGGAGAGACAGGAGCTGACCAATCGTAAGACAGAGTAACGCCTCACAGGAAGCAGGGCTGCAAGGTGCCAGTAAGGCACTATGCTGGTCTAATAGAAAAAGGAGGTGTA